TCGAAACCAACAGATTCTTACAAAACTACCAAGGGTGAGCCGCATGAGTCGAAGACGTCGTTGCACACTTCCATGGTTACAAGCAGCAGCCTATCTCATGTATCACAGCCTTGTAAATGTTGCAAGGGTACTCATGATTTGACTTCATGTTCAAAGTTTAAGGGTTGGTCGCATGAGTTGCGTAATAAATGGGCTCGCGACCAGCGAATATGTTTTCGATGTCTACGTTCGGGACACTGGGCATTCGTTTGTAAGTCTAGAATTTTATGCAGTCAATGTTCCCGGTGGCACCATTCACTATTGCATCCGGTTGGACCTTCTGAGCGTCTCGGAGAAGGAAACAAGTTGAAGGAAGGGCAATCGGACGGTGCAATCACATCGTCACTTCTTAGTCAAAATACGTCGTCCTCTGTCATTCTCGGGACAGCGCTTATACACATTCCCGACAACGTCGGATCACTGCATACAGTGCGAGCGCTCATTGACTCGGCCTCTCAAATTAGTGCTATCACATCGGAGTGCACTAATCGGTTGGGACTCCGAATGCGGAATTGGACGGCACCTGTGTCCGGTCTTGGTGGCGTTTCGGTACAAAACGTTTTGGGGATAGTCAACTGCCAGGCACAGTCAAGATATTCCCCAGATCCCGTATTCAATTTTGAGGCGTGGGTGTTCCCGTCTGTTGCGGCTGATATGCCGCGAAACCCACTATCACGTTCGATAGCAGATAAGTATCAACATCTCGCTCTAGCAGATCCATCGTTCATTAACCCAGGTGCCATTGATGTCCTTTTAGGCGCGGACCTGTTCGCCCAAATTATGAATGGGAAGCGTATGTCGGTAGGCGATGCTTTTCCGGTAGCATTCGGAACGGTGTTCGGCTGGACAGTCATCGGGCCGGTTCCGAATTCAACATCCAATATTTCGGTATCATGTTCTGTATCACTTACTACATCTGTAGAAACGTTGTTGGAGAAATTCTGGGCGCCCGAAGAACCAGACGTGACACCCGAGGATTTTACGCAAAAAGGGCAGTGCGAGGCAATATTTCGCGATGGATGTACCAGTGATAGTTCCGGTCGATTCTGTATACCTTTCTTGTTCCGTCGAGCACTTTCTGATGACACCTTCAACGGTTCGCGTGTTGTAGCCGCAAAACGATTTCAGCACTTAGAGAAGAAATTGACCAACGACCCTTGCCTTAGACGTTTGTATTGCGATTTCATGTCTGAATATTTGGCATTGGGAAACATGTCTCCGGCCACATCCATTAAAAATTATTTTATTCCACACCATGCTGTCTATTGTCCCGCAGATATCAACCCAAAAATCCGTGTAGTGTTTGATGTCTCCGCTATGTCGTATTTCGGCTTGTCGTTGAATGATTGCTTGTTTCCCGGACCAAAGTTGCAGCCCGATGTTGTGGACGTCTTATTACTGTATCGGGTTCATCGTTTTTCATTCACGATCGATATAAGTAAAATGTACCGTCAGGTGTCTATATCTCCGTCACATCGATGGTACCAACATATTTTGTGGAGATCGTCCCCCGAACATAAGTTACAAGCATATGAATTCAACACTATCATCTATGGGATCAACTGCGCCCCCTACCTCGCGACCAGATTGTTGCACTCCATTTTTGAGCTTGAATATAGTGATTTTCTGTCACTTAAAGAAGCCTTGTTATTTCAGACATACATGGACAACATCTGCGTTGGAGGCGACACATTATATGAGGTTCTTTCCCTTCGTGGCTCACGAGGACTTACTCTATCAGAGTTTATTAAACACGAATTCTATTTAAATGGTCCACCGTGTTTGCAACTACCATCCCAACAATGGGATAAGGATATTCCCCTGAAGACTGCCGATGAATTGCCCAAATTTAAGGTCGTAGCTTCGACGGCGTTGGTCATACAAGAAAAGGAATGTGAATGGTGCGAGCGTTTCTCCTCTTACGTACAAGCGATCCGAATCACTGTCCATATATTATGTCGGTTCATCGTTCAGTGTAGGAAAAAAACTGTTGAAAAGGGGTACTTATCCCGAAAGGAACTTGACCAGGCTGCGCTTTTGATTGTACATTCATCGCAACAATTTCATTTCGGTACGTTAATTTATGAGTTGTCCCAGGAGCGAGCGGCCTCGACGCGATTATTGGCACGTATACGTTCGTTCATCGATAGTCGAAATATAATACTGGTCTGCAGCCAGTTGTCCAAATCGGATTTGCCTGATGTCCAAAAATATCCTGTGTTACTGTCAAAGGCTTCCCACTTCTCTGTTCTAATAATCCGGCATTATCATGACATCACCAATCACAGTGGCCCTCAAATCGTATCTTCCTTGATTTGTCGACAATACAGGCTACTATACATTCACACGTTAATCCGTACGGTCATCAGCCGTTATACCACTTGCGTACGCATTACAGCAAAAAAACCCCAACCGGTGATGGCGGACCTCCCGTCAAGCCGAGTGACGAAATACCACCCATTCGTGAGGGTCAGAGTGGACGCAGGACCTTTTTTGATAAAAGAAAACCTACTTCAAAAGGCTCGCCAGTTCAAAATGTATCTAGCCGTATTTGTGTGCTTCAAGGTTCGGACGATACATCTAGAATATGTACCGGACTTGAGCACCGAGGTATTTATAACGGCTTTAAATCGCTTTGTGGCACGCCGCGGTCTACCTACCGACCTTTATAGCGATTGTGATACTAATTTTGTTGGGGTAGATAATTTACTTCGTGCTCTTGTCAACGACCCTGCATGCCGTGATCGATTGACGACTTGCGTCCATTGTACGTGGCATTTTAACCTTTCCGGTGTTCCTCATTTTGGTGGACTCTGGGAGGCAACAGTCAGTTCATCCAAAACTTTGTTGGCACGAATTATAAGAGAATACATCTTCACCATTGAAGAGTTTAGCACTTTTTTGTGTCGGTTCGACACCATCTTAAACTCTCGACCAATTAATCTTGCTTCGTCCGACCTCGCTGAACTTGAATGTCTATCTCCAGGCCATTTTTTAATTGGTAGACCCTTATTTTCCGTGCCAAAAGCTGAGATTCCGGTCGATACCCGTACATTGTTGCAGCGGTGGAACTTAATTAAACAATGCGTGCAAGCTTTTTGGCACCCGTGGTGTACTGAATATCTCCAAACACTACAGGTGCGTAGTCGGTGGCTCAATGACGCCCTAAACATAGAGTTAGACGATATGGTGGTCATAAAAGACACTCAAATACCACCGTTGAAATGGCGTATGGGTCGTGTAATCGAGGTACTACCAGGCGCTGACAAGCCTGTTCGAATCGTTCGGTTACGAATCGCTACCGGGATCATAACCCATCCGGTGATAAAATTGGTCAAGCTTCCCACCAAACTATAAAAGAACCTCCTGCTTCCTCTCTCTTTCTCTCTTTTGCACTCTCTCACATTTTATATAATTTGTACATTGACAACCACGTTGCATGAGTCACGGAGGAAGGTGCACCTTGAATATCTGCCAGAAAAATTAAGGGGCACATTAGAAAATAATGTATATAGTATAAGCTTTGGCGTTTGGTTTATATACCTAATTAATTTTAATTTTTTGAATTTGGTGTTAAATTATTTTTTTTTTTTCATAATGTTAAATTTTTACTTTAATTATGTATTTGCGTCATGTTATTTTATTTAATAACAATATAAAGTTTGTGAAGCCAGTCCAGTGCCACCAATCCACACGGATCAGTCACCCATCTGTTCAATCTCCATGTACTGTCTGCAGTCTGCAATTGTCGTACAAGCAGGGTTCAATAGTAAGACGTGCTTATCTTACTGGGAGGAGGATGTCGGAAATCTACGCTATTTGTGACCGTGCAGGGTCGCGTTCATGCCTTATCGGCTGGAATTGTCGTCGGTCAAGTCGATAAGATTATGGATGGCATAACCGTTTGAAAATATTCGATAAAACCCCTCCTCCCGGCCTTCGCGAGCTAGTGCATTCCATCTCCGCCAAGTGAACCCGCGGCCAATTGCCTGTGACAAGCCGTTGTAACGTTTTTATTCTGCGTTCTCGCTCTATTTCGTCGTCTGACCCGACGGTGCGTTTCGTCCGAGTGTAGTGCGACGCCTATTCGATACTTTTCGAATACGCGGTTGCTTGTTGCAGAGTACGTTGGCCGCATTGTGTCGTCGCACCCATTGTATCGTGTCCCGTCGTCCCGTCGGTGGGACTACCATTGTGCGTGATGGACGCGTGGAAAGTCGGACGGATTCACCTTGCAGCCGCTGTATATGTTTTGCGTGCTAGGCTCCCGTCATTCTTACCGTTCGCTGTTGTGTGTCGTCTTTTTCGTGCAGCTTGTAAATCGTTTTAACAACGGTTGTCCCAGTTCGCCTCCGACGAAGGATTTTAACACGGTCAGATATTTTGATGGTGAATGATCCGGAGAGTGATCGCCGAGTCAACAATTCCTTCCCCGACCGATATTTGCGAGGACCAGCGGGTTGCCGTCAGCGTCAGGTTGCCAGCGCTGATACAACAGTGTTTATTGTAAATATTATCATATTATTGTCTTTTATATTTGACTGTGTATTATTTTTTCTTATCAATTATACATACATACTTTATATTATTAGTTAAAGGGCGCTCTTTTTCTCTCTTGTTTTTTGTAATATAACTGATTATTAATATTTAATGTTTGTTAACCTAATAGTACGGTACTGTTTTGGGCCCGTCATCAATTTATAAAACGCTACGTGTTTTTATTTTATTGTGAAAGGGTTTAACCTAACCTAAACATTGCACTTCTCTACTATGATCGACGTTGTGGTTGTCTAGAATAGACAAGTTGGATTAACTCAATTTTTAGTAAAGTTTTGAAGTGTAGCTGAATCGATCAACTTCACCTCTGGGTTGACTATAGTGGTTCATGTTACATCTACTTTGATACTCGTCTACACGTGTCCTATAGTTTAATAATATTATGTAATTACCATAGGCGTAGCGTGATAGTTTTCTATAGGGGGGAACTATAGCCCTAACAAAATTGTTTACATGGATGCATACAAAGGTAATATACATACCTACTTGCGGTTGCCATTGTGGAGTTGCCCCCCACTCCCTTTAAAATCGAATTTTCAAACCCGAAATAATACTATCAAGTATTCATTTGTTTTTTTATGGATTGTATAAAATAAACCTTAGATAATTAGATAATTCTATTAGGTATATTTAAGCGAAACCAAAAGGGTAACAAGAAAACCTTTTATTGCATGCTCATTTTTCAGGGGAATATGCAAGGAAATTTTGTGGGTAAGTTACTTCAGAATGAGTATCTAGATATGTACCTACTCAAAATTAGATATTTTGAATATTATCAACTAGAATGTGTGATTAACATAGATTAATTTAATCAATTAAACCGTTTTTTTTTTTTAAAATTGTAAATGTCAACTCTTATATATTTTCAATTATGATCATATTATAACAAATTACTCCTGTATCAGTGGCGTAATTAAGTGGTGGTAAGTGGGATAGATCCCTCTAGAGCCTTTATAATATACATATAAATATTATATCTATACAAATATATATAAAATTTATTTAAACGATACAATGAATTTAAAGATAATTATAAATAGGTTTGCTCATAGGAAATTACTGATAGTGAGTAACGACGCGTCATTATTTTTTTTTTTAGATTAGATTATTTAATCTATGATTATTGTTGAGATTGGCCATTGACGTAATACTATTTATACTATTTAGACTTGTAGGCCCTGTGTACAACATATTTTGCCTATTTAAATTTATAATGCAATTTTCCCACGTTTTTAAATCATAGGCGTTTATCGTTCGTCTGGAATTTTCTAGAAGCTTGGAGATCCCAGCGAGCGATAAGTTTATATGTACATATATTGTGGCACCATCGAGAATAAATAAATACAAAAAAGAAATGCCGTGTATACCTTTACCACCCGAACCTGTTTTTTTCAATATGGGGAACATGGTTAAATGCTGCACTTTTCTTTACAAATAATTTTGATAACTTTAAAAACGTGATTGAAAGTATTGAAGATATTTTAACAAATATGCCTGGTCCAAATGGGGAAAAAATTAAATAAAAATGTATGTATATAATTGAGAAAAATGAAGGTCATAAAACTTTAAAGTCTTGCTATGAAGTCATGTCAGGTAAAGTAAATGTTAATTTACATATAATAACTACTTTATTAAATTGTTTTAAATATGCACCAATAACTAGTGTAGTCGTAGAACGTAATCTTTCTTTGTGCGATCATATTTTAAGTAATAGAAGATTTAATTTTAATGAAAATAATTTATAAATATATCTAATTATCAATTTTATCGGAATTAAAAGGTGGTACTTGGAATATACGAACACTATACAAACCTGGAGCAACTGTGGAATTAGTAGAAGAGATAGAGAGATATAGAATGAAATGCGTAGCATTACAAGAGGTGAGATTAGAGGACGCAGGTACAACAAAGATATCACAAACAACAATCATAAATGGGAGGAGTGAACGAGGTCACAAACTGGTTTCACCATACATGAGTCGATCATACATTTGATCAAAGAGTTCAAAGATGTAAATCCGAGAATCTCAACATTAACCTTGAAGGACAAAAATCTTCACATTGTGTTAATCAACGTACATGCGCCGACGGAGGAAAAAGATGAGGAAATAAAAGAAGAGTTCTATGATACACTAGAGGAGGTATTTGATACTACGGTGGGAAATATTAAAATTGTAATGGGCGACCTAAATGCTAAAATAGGGAAAGAAAGGGTATACCAGAACGTGGCAGGAATGCATAGCCTCCATGAGCACTCGAATGATAATGGCTCTAGACTAGCAAATTTTGCATCAGGAAAAGGTTTAATAATCAAGAGTACAATGCTCCCACGCAAAGATATATATAAATATACTTGGGTGTCTCCGGATGGAAGGCACAAGAACCAGATTGATCATGTACTGATTAACAACAGGTTTAGAAATAGTATAACTAATGTAAGGACATTAAGAGGAGCCGACGCAGATTCTGACCATCTTCTAGTAGGTATTTGGATAAGAGTTAAATTCAAGAAACGATACAGACACAATTTAAATACTATAGATAGATACGATATTGAGAAATTAGAGGAAGTTAATATACAGAAAGATTATGGCAGAAAAATCGGCGAAACTCTCAAAGTACAGCAAATAACAAACACAGACGATGTGAATGATGTGTGGATCAAAATTAGAAACACTGTACAACTGACTGCAAAAACAATAATAGGAATAAAGGAAAAGAGGAAAAAACCCTGGTTTAACCAAATATGCGAAGACGCAGTACAGAGGAGAAAAATAGCCCGGGAGGAATGTCTGAAGGACACTAACAATGAAGAAAGGACTGCAGATTTCAGTAGACGAAGGAAAGAAGCTCACAATATAATAAGAGGCGAAAAAAGAAAATATATCCAAAACATTATGAAAGACGCTGAACAAGACTTTAGACTAAATAGAACCCGAGATATGTATAAGAGAATAAATGGCATAAAAGGAGATTTTAAAAAGAAAGAACGTTTTCTCAAAGATGATGATGGAATGTTAATAACTACAGAAAAAGAAATAGCTGAGCAATGGAGAAAGTATTTCGACGGACTATTAAACTGTGAGGAACCAACCGAAAAGTTCCCCTTTAATATTGAGAACATAAATACGCAAGAATGCCCGTACCCTACANCCAGATGATTGGAAAGTGGCGGTAGTATGTCCAATTCACAAAAAAGGAGACAAACAAGATTGCAACAACTACCGCGGAATATCCTTGCTTAATGTAGTGTATAAAATATTCTCGAATTGTGTTTTAGACAGGATAAAAGAAAAAGCGGATCAAATAATAGGACACTATCAAGGAGGGTTTAGAACTGACAGATCCACGACGGACCAGATATTCATAATTAGGCAATTGTATCAAAAATCTTGGGAATTTGATAAAGAGGTTCACACACTTTTCGTGGACTTTAAAAAAGCGTATGATAGTATCCATAGAGAGAGTCTATTGAATATTATGAAAGAATTTCATTTTCCACAAAAGCTGGTCAATTTAGTATCTATCAGCGTCATGGAGACCTTGATAAGGATTCAGATAGGAAATTTAGTAACTGAACCGACAACAGTGAACTCGGGGCTAAGACAAGGTGATTCGCTATCGCCGATTCTGTTCAACGTGGTTTTGGAAAAGGTTATTAGAGAAATGAAAATTGGTTCTAACGAGGGTATTAGATTACAAGACACGTCGATAGGTCTACTTGCTTATGCTGACGATATAGTATTGATGGAAGAGTCTCAGGATAGATTGAAGATTTTATTCAGTAGATTGCATAAAGCAGCATCAAAAGTAGGACTATGTGTAAATGAAGAAAAAACGGAGTATATGTTTTTGAGTAGACGGGGACTACCTTTTTGGCAATCCATAAAAATAGATCAATATGAATTTAAAAGGGTAGAACAGTTCAAATACCTAGGGTCTATTTTGTCTGAGAAAAATAATGTAGCAATCGAGGTAGCAGCAAGAATCCAAGCTGGGAATAAATGTTACTATGGACTGACTAAGGTACTAAGCTCACGAGTAGTGTCGCGAAGAATGAAAGAACAATTATATACGTCCTTAATACGACCGGTTGTAGTGTATGGATCAGAAACATGGCCACTCAGAAAAATGGATGAGCATAGATTCATGGTCTTTGAAAGAAAAGTGTTGCGGAAAATATATGGCCCGGTCAAAGATGAAATAACTGGTGAGTGGAGACGAAGAAAGAACTTAGAGCTGGAAACACTATACAGCAGTTCAGATATTTTGGAGGTCATCAGAGGCAGAAGACTACGGTGGGCTGGCCATGCTTGGAGGAGCCAAAATCCACTATTACATGCTGTGATTGAACAAAACCCTGTAGGTAAAAGACCTCTGGGGAGACCAAAAATGCGATGGGAAGACAATATAAAAAAGGATGTTGAACATTTAGGAGGCTGTGCTAATTGGAGAAATCTGGCATTAGATAGAGAAGGATGGAAGCTTGGTTGTGAGACGGGATGGTCTTAACGGCCCAATAAACCCAAAAAAAAAAAAAAAAAAAAAATTATCAATTTTAATTAAAAAAAGTAACACTTATCTAATTTTTTTTGTATAACTTGCATTTTTATAGTGCCGTTTATTATGCAATTTTTACGTATTTTTTGATGCAATTATATAATTTTAATATGTAATTTTTGTGTGTTTTAAATGCAATTAAATCCAGTCTTTAGTAATAATGAAGGTAGGCACCTACTAATATTAAAACAACTTGATACACTTTTAAACTTTATTAAATATTTACATTTTACAATATTGATAAATTTATTATAATAATAATAAATATTTAATTCATATATACACAATAACAAAATAGGTAATTAAAACATAAAATAAATATTTATTTTTATGAATGCGTATTTTTTTTTCAACTTTTTGTTAGCTATTTTAATTTTGTATTTGTTCATATTATTATTACAATTTTTTATATGACTATTAATTAAAACATTTATACATTTTAGTTTACATGTATTACATATACTTATTGTTCTGATATATATATAGCTTTGCATCATCAAATCAATAATTTTAATTATAATTCTATTTAAAATGTCAAAAAGGCTATCAAAAATTTGAATACATTTAGCAGTGTATGTTGCTGTACTTTTCATTTTGTTTAGTGCCACTAGTGTTAATATACCAAAGCTTACAGTATGAATTAATGTTTGGGTAGCCAAACAAACTCTTAATGGAGAGAATGGTGGTAGTTCCATGTGAATGTTTTTTAACTTTGGTGCTAATCACAAGGTTTTATTACTGTCTATATTATAAAAAGTAACCAAATCTTGCCAGGAATATACTTCTTCATCAATGGAAAAGTCATACTTTTTAAAGTTATTTCTTACAGATTTTATAAGATGTGGGCTATCATGGAAAAAATAAATGTTTTCATCTTCAAAATAATATAAGGTGTTTTATAAGTGACTCCAAACAAATTACAAATGCATAAGTTGTTTGTTTCTTGGTCACAAACTACCACTTTTGGTATGAGTCCTATTTGTTTTAATTTTGTTATTGTATATGTAACAATTTGTTTAAGCCTATATTCTTTGACTGGTCCACTAGAAAAAAAGTACCCAATAACTTGCTTCCATTAAGTAATGAGATATTTTATCATTATAACTAAGGCTGGTCACAGTACTTAATATTCTTTAAATCAATTATTGAATTATATGAAATTAATGATCTTACAGTTGGAAGACAACCATTTCTGCATGAATTTATATGATTTTGGTAAACTATAATATAAACTAAGGGCAAATAATTTTTCCTTTTTTCTTGTACCTTAAACCTTTCTTTTTCACTTAGCTAAATCTTAGTTTTGTTTGTAAAATAAAATTATGCTTTATGATATTTTGAAAAAGCTGGTCCTTTTTTTAAAATACATTAAGGCTTTTCTTTTTAAACATGGCTATTTTAATTTTTGTTTGGACACTCATTTTTGGTAAGCTATTATTTTTGATTTCAACAAATTTTGTTTTTCTGAGCATAATTGTTGATCATGCATATGATGTACAGTTAATTTATAACTTACAGAATACAACAATTTTATTATAATTAATAAAACTAATAAGTACTATTAAGTCATTAAGTTTGATGGGAACATCTCTGATTATTAATACAATATAATAATTAATAATACAATATAGTAATAATATATTATAAATCTAAAAGTTACTTAAAACACTTAACAAAGTCCATTATCCATAGTCCATTGGCAATCCCAATTTAAATGAGTAATAAAAACAAAACAAATACACAAATAATGCAACAAATAATAGTACAATACACTATACAATACAATAAAGTATACTTAATATTATTTTTTGAAGCTATTGGTAGTGGCTTAACAGTTATATTATTTGAAAATTCTAACTCAAGCTCTGACTCAATAAAAAGTCTATGATGACATAATTTACTCAATGATTTACCTTGTAGGTACTTTAGGTTTACCTACACGTTAATTTTTAAAAATATTTAAAAATTAAAATTAAAATAGTACCTATAAAAAAATAATAAACAATTGTAGTGTAAAAAATAAAAAAAAAAACTAATCTTGAGAATTAGTTATAGACTATAACTATACAAGGACTCAAAACTTAAGGTATTGACGTTAATACAGAAGAGGGAATGGAGTATTTGAACAATAATCTGTATTTAGGTATGTAATTTGAAATAATTAAGAAATTAGATAATGTACAATATTGACTTGGGTCATATATTATATAGTAAAACAAATTAATATACAGTATACTATGTGAAAGTTGAATAATTCACGTTTTATTTCCAACACCTTTCCATATAATATAATCAGATGATTTGAAATGATCAGAACATATAATACATGTTTTGTTTAAAGATCTAGATCCTTTAGTTTTGAAAATATCCATTATTTCTAAACTTCCACGCCAATCAACTCATTTTTACACCTGTATTAATAATTTAGACAGAAATTTTAAAATACAATTTTTGGTTGCATATATATATATATATTTAAAATTATATTACCAAAAAAAAATATATATATATCAAACTATTTAATATGTAATTATTATTTATTTTTATTTAGAAGCATATAATTCTGTACATAATTATTTTAAGAAAATTACAATTCTTCATTGGATGGAAAACCTAAATTCGGAATTTCCCTGTATTATAACAATATTTTGTTGAACATGACTTTTTCGAACCCATTTCCATAAGTCTTTACAAAAACAATTTACAAATTGTATCTATCAAGTATAGACATGAACTAATGATGCATTATTATACATTTTAATATAGTTTGAATTTAAACATTCAAAGCAAATATTACTATTCATTTTTAGTATTTATACAAGTTATATTTTGTTTATAGCCATTAGTCATTTAAAGTTTTGGCGGGATTTATTATTATTTTTATTTGTTTTACGCCTTGGATATAGGCAAAAACAGTATAAATGAGGGCTCCATATATTATCAGTGATTACCATTGAATTTCCCGTATTATTATTTATAATGTTTGATCATATCTTATGTTGTACACTATTTCAATGTGATATGGACATATATTTTCGTTTATTTTTTTCCGTTCCAAAAGCCAGAGATCAACTTGGCAAGTAACCCGAAATTTCACGATTTTTGTTTCGTACCTACATCGATTCGGGAATCTCGAAGCAATCGAAGTATTCAAAGCTCACCGGCAGTCATGGAAAACCATATGATGTTATTATACTACACAATAGTGTGATAAGAATTTATACCTATATAATTTATTTTGTCACTGCATCTGTCTGCTACCCAAGTATTATTATCTCCAGTTCTCTCTTTTGTAAACTAACCACTTTATAGTCGAATTTGCTTCTCATTTTATTTGTATTTTAATCGTACTTTATATATTTGTTAAACTATACTTATGGTGTCCAGATGTACCCTTTTTCGCAGGACATTACTCTTTTTTGATGCATGTCCTATGTCTTTAACTTTGTATAAATATTGTGTTAATATTGTACTTAAGTACATGAAATTGTACTCTTTTTTTTGAAAATAATAAATATTAAATAAATAAATATAATTATGTAGGAAACATGTATTAAAAAAGCTTTGTATTTATTTAAATGTAATACCTTTAAAAATTAATTTAAATATATATACTTAAGTTATACTTCTATACTTTAAGTTGACTAAAATTACTTAAATTTCAAAGTATTCTCATCATAAAGACACAAACCAAATGAGTTGATATTATGATTTCAAATAATTCATTTTAGAAGATATAATTATAAAGTAATCAGATAAAGAAAAAATGTATATAGATCAAGTTAAGTTATGGTCAAAATGGGTAAAATAGTAAACACAATACATATTGGCCAATTCTTTCAAGAGGGTTTTTTTTTACAATGGAGAACTTAAATTTTAAAATATACATTTTTTTGGATTTTTATATCTGGTCACTATAATTATATTACTGTTTGTGAACGAATTGTCTATAAACCTCGTTCTTTCTACATCGTTAAAATAACATCAAGTGAGAATTCTTTACTGGTTTAATCAACCATAAGCTACAGACCAGCACCAGTAAACCAAGATTTGGTGAGAAATTTTTATCTCTATTTGATAATTTATTTTTTGATCAGGTACTATCGTCAGCCCTCTATAACCATGTCCAATATGCACAGAATGAGGTATAAAAATGAAGGTGTTGACTCTAAGGAGTTACGTCGTAGACGTGAAGAAGAAGGTATTCAGTTACGCAAGCAAAAAAGGGACATTCAGCTTTTCAAAAGACGAAATATAAATGAGATAATTCAAAGCGACGATATTGATGTAAGTACAGTGATTTAAGTTGAATGCAATTTACGTAGTAATGGCACTCATGACGCCTATATATATATTGTTCGTGATTTGATTCTTTTGTCAATCAAATCATGTTTATTTAAAATGCAATTTTTATAATATATAATTTCATTTTAATCCCTTTAACCATTTTTAACCTAAAATTGTAACATTATTATATAACAGTTTAATTGTTTTAAAAATGTTCCATTCCTAAGTACATAATTAATATTGAATTAATGAAACCTTGTGGTAGTATTTTTGTCTGCTTGATTGGAATACCTATTAGATGTAATTCTTAAAATTAATTTTATTTTAATACAAAGTCTAAACATGGTTATGATAATTATCAATTATCATGATTAAATAATTAATATTAGGAACATAAATAATTAAGCAAATTTATAACTCTACATTATAATTTGTATACATATATAATATTCTATAATATTTTTGTTTTCTTAACTTGTATTATTTTTTTTTAATGAGAAATACAATATATATATATAACTTCACATATATTGTATAATTGTAGCCGGCTGTACCGAATAATTTATCCGCATGGTCTAATATTAATGAAGAACTTATCAAACATCTGTATAGCATTAATGAAGAAGATCAATTTAGAGCCGCCCAAAAATTCAGGAAATTATTGTCTTCTGAACCAAATCTTCCCATTGATGATGTAATTAATACTGGTATAATTCCACGATTTGTTGAATTTTTGAAAAATGCAACCAACAGCCATTTGCAGGTATATAGTTATTATTTGTTCTATAACTTTCTTAGATATACTTACAAATTTTAATTTGTTAGTTTGAAGCGGCATGGGTTTTGGCAAATATTTCTTCTGGAACTTCAGAACTGACACGTAAAGTAATGGAAGCTGATGCTGTTCCAGTATTTATATATTTGTTAGAATCACCATACGAAGATGTACAAGAACAAGCAGTTTGGACTTTGGGAAATATTGCCGGTGATTCTCCGATGTGTCGTGATTATGTTTTAAACATGGGCATTATGAAGCCATTATTGAAGTAATTATTAATTCTTAAGTCTGAATTAATTTATACATTTTGCGAATATAAAAATAAAACATTGTACATTGTTAGTAAATAAGTAGGAGAAAGGAGGGTGAGAGGAAGATCAGAACAGAAGTGGTTGAATGTGATTGAGTGTGGTATAAGGATGCTTGATATATGTGATGATGATGAGGGGGGAGGATCAGGTCGAGTGAAAGCTTATGATGAGGGTTGCGGACTCTAAATAAATTGAATGGAAAAAGAGATGAAGACTATTTTGTTTAATATTAATATAATTAATATTTTTATCAATTATATAGGTTTTGTATGTTCATTTTTTTTTTCGTAGGTTGCTAGATAACTGTTCCCATTCATCAATGACTCGTAATGCTGTGTGGACTTTGTCCAATTTATGCAGAGGAAAAGTGCCGCCACCTGAATTTTCGATGATATCACCTGCTTTGCCGGTTTTAGCTGACTTATTAAATAACTCCGATGCCGATGTTTTGGCAGATACTTGTAGGACTCTATCATATTTATCTGATGGTCCACATGAAAAAATTCAAGCCGTAATTGATACTGGAGTTTGTCCAACCTTAGTTGAATTATTAATGTGAGTTATAATAATTTGTAATCAATTTATTGAATAAAAACAAAAGAAATTACTAATAATTTTACTATTGTTTAAGGCACACACAAACTAATGTAGTTTCTGCCGCTTTGCGAGCAGTTGGTAATATAGTAACTGGTGACGATGCTCAAACACAAGTAGTTTTAAACTGTTCAGTTTTACCTTGTTTGCTAAGCTTGTTGGGCTCGCCCAAAGAAACTATTCGTAAAGAAGCTTGCTGGACAATATCTAATATTACTGCTGGAAATAAAAATCAAGTACAAGTAGGTAATTTATTAATAAACCAACAATCCTCTGCAATGATATAATCATTTTCAGTCAGCCCTTTCAGAAGTTCTGCCGTTTTCATTTTTACATCATTAACCGTTTGAAAATGGGTTCCTTTTAAAAACTTTTAATTTTTGGGAATAGGAAGAAGTCACAAGAAGCCAGGTCTGATCAAAAAGCGTTGAATTGGAAATCTACTGTGTGCTGGAGCATTGTCTTGTTGAAGAACCCAGCCATTCTTCCACAGATTTGGTCGCTTCTTTCCAACACGTTCTCTCAATTTAATTAATATATCTTTATTATAATATTGGTTGACCGTCTGACCACTAGGAACCTATTCAAAAACAATTTTCTCTTAATGTCAAAGAAAACAATGAGCATACTTGCCCATTCAAGCTTTCTTAATTCTTGGGGAATTTGGTGTCTTTTAATGCATGGAATGCCTTTTAGTTTCAGGATCATATGTAAAAATCCATGTTTATCATAGGTTATAATATTATTTAAAAAAAAATTGAACATACTTGATGATTTTTTAAGTGTCTGAACAAATTTCTTCACAAATTGAAGTTTTGATCAATCGTCAAATTTTTAGGAACCATTTTAGCACACACTTTTTTAATGTAAATTTCCAACTAAAATTCTACAAACACTTTCTTTATCAATATTTATTATCTCTGTTACAGCTCTAACACTTAATTGACAATCTTGCTGAATAATTTTGTTGATTTTTTTCAATGTTTTTGTTTGTTGAAGATTTGGTAGGATATCTAAGATGATCATCGCCTTCAACGTCCCCTCATCCAGTGCAAAATCATTTATGCCATTCAGAAACGCAATCTCTAAATAAGAATTTTTTACCATAAACTTCATATAACATCCAAAACGAATCCACGGTAGTTTTTTTAAATTTAACAAGAAATTTAATGTTAACAAGTTGTTCGATTTTTAAATTAAACATTTTTCTGCAGTATAGTTAAATTAGCACTAATAATATATAAAAAAATGAATCAATTTCGTCAATATTAATAGTACTTTTAGATAAGTGTTTCTTTATCGTAATTCAATAATGGTTTTATAAATAACGTTAATATTTTACGTTATATACAGAAAGTCTCGTTATTTTTCTGTCACACCTTGTATGCCCCTTTGTATTGCCCATCCATATAATTATGATTGTTTATTTGGTTAAAAATATTATTTGTTTTTTTTTTTTATTTTGCAACCAATGGGCAACTGCCTCGATCCTGCTTAAACTTTGTTTTTATCACGTCTTCTTATTATAATATTCAAATTACATATTAAAAATTTATTTTAAATGTTTGTGATTCTAAACAGGCACCATTGTAGGTACTTATTTTAAGTACCATAAAGGTGAGTGACCAACAACTAGAAATAAATATTATTAATATTGGCTAGTATATTTATTACTCGTACATTGATTTTTTTATGAAAATCGTAAAAATGATAGCATTCATAACATATTTAACCAAACTTCGCTCAGTCGTTTTTTGTTAAATTACTCTATATCCTGCATTCTCAACTCCCACCTTCAAATAAATTTGTTTTATTGCTGTAGTATGGATTTAATTTTAATTGACTTAAAGCAGAATCATTTAAAAATAATTTATTTGTTAGTATGAATAGTAATTACTAACTAAAAGTACAGAAAAACCATTTTAATAGTTGTACGATATGTGTATTTACAGGCTGTTTTAAATGAAAACATATTCCCAACACTTATTCATATTATGGCTACAGCAGAGTTCCAGACGAGAAAAGAAGCTGCGTGGGCCATTACAAATGTAACATCGGGGGGAACGCAAGAACAAATCCAGCATTTGGTTGAACAGGTATATTTTATCAATAAAACAATTATTCTTTTATTATTTATTTTCTTTTTATCTTTTTATTTAGAAATGTATCCCTCCGTTGTGTGATCTCCTTACAGTAACAGATGTGAAAATTATNATATCAGAAATCTTTTGGAATTATTGAACGTTACTTTGGTTCTGAAGAGGACGATCCTTGGGTTGCACCCTCTGTACAAGAAACTGAACAAGGACTCGAGCAGTTCGATTTTAGGGATCAAAATGTCCCTGCGACTAGATTCCAATTCTATCAATTAATAATACAGGAAATATGATTTGGTTTTTCTTAACTTTTTTGTTCATGATTTTTATTTACATTTAAATTTAACTTATAAAAACCAAAACAGATATTTTGTTAAAAAGAACATAATATAACTGATTATATTCAACAACATGTTCAGTTGAATATGTCTGAGGACATTATTTGAACGACATAAATAAATTAGTTTTTCGAAATTAGTGTTTTTACATATTGTTATTTTTTTTTTTAGTTTCATACATTTAGATTCAAGTATATAATTTAATGTATTCAAATATTTTTGCCTTGAAATTTAATATTTTATTGGCAACCGTTATCATAAATTATTCAATATTTATAACTTTATAGTGTGACTTCTTCAAACTACATTAGATAATAATAATACTAAATATATTTTTCACATAAGTGAAATGTGTTTTTTGTTAAAGTTGTATCTATTAAAAATAAACTAAAAACCACAAAGCTGTGTATACAATAATAAAATATTTTGTTTCCTATGTTGGTACATTGTTTAATGGCAACACTGATAAAGTATATGGTCAGAAGTTTAAAAGACTTCTTACACCTTCACTTAATGTTCAAAGGCTCATTTATTTCAAAACTGTCGCCAGTGGTGAAAGTGCTAAGTTTTTATTTTCTTCAAAAATGTTTTAGGCGATTCCAATCTCTTTAACCAATAAATTCTTGGTAGGCTACTATGAAAATGAAAAGTGTATGCATTCTTCTGTTTTGTAAGTATTCTATACATTTATTTTTAAATTAAATTAGTTTGTATTTGAAAATGGAATTTTGAATTTAATATAATTGGTTTTGAACATAACATGCTCATGGAATGAAACATTATAATATTTATACAGAATTGAGCAATATCAAAAATAAATTAATTGGCTTATGGTATTATAAAAAAAATATTGTATCATAAATCCTCACTTTCTATTTATAATTTGTTGTTTAGATTCTCGTATTTTTTTACCAGTTACTTATTTTTATTTTTACTTGGGAAGATTTATAAATCTAAATATTTCATTAATTTTATTTAAAATATTGCAAGAAAATAGGCCATTCTATTTAATTTATTAGGTAGTAATGTAAAACAAAATCAATTTGAAATCGAAAACTTCAAAATATGAGCTAACAGTATTTTAAAAATTGAAAAATCAAATACAGTTTCCTAGTAAAATTTGGTACCTACCAATCATCGATTTAATACACCACACTTGATAAAAATTGAGAATAGGTGTCAACATAGCGTCCGTAAATTTCTGTAAATTTCTGTAAATTTCCGTAAAAACTCATGATAATAATGAAATTTGTGGTTTATTTAAATTAATTATTATTAGGAAAAATACGATATATAAGTACTATAAATAACTATAGAATATAGGTAATAATTATTTTAGTAAAAAAAAAAAATAATTTTATTTTGTTACAATTCAAAAACTAATAACAGTTCTAAAGAGTTAATGAAATTTCCGAAAATTTTGCTGATTTTATGATAATACAAATTACTCAATTAATTTTTATCGGCGTTTTAAATTCGAATTTATGTTAAAATTGATTGAAAACAAGAACTACTGGATTGTTATTTATAGTTACAAATTAACAAAATTTGTTGGTATTAATTTTCTCAAAACGTGTTTAACCGAACTTCGCCAAGAATCGATTTTTTTTTTCGATTTGTCGTCGAATCTAGGTATAAACTAAATCACAAACATATTGTATCTAATACCTTCCCAATTTATCAATTACACCAGTAGGCCATTTGTCATGGTATAAAGTACATCGGATTTTTAAATTTATTCAGTCTTTTTTTTATTCGTTTGATACCTACTCTGACGGTGTACCTATTTACAATAATTGTTTACATAGGTAGTGGCGTGCTCGAGAGTTATCAATGGGAGGGGATGTAGCAAATAAGAATCAGAAATAAATCGTAAATTAATCTTTTCTACCCAAATTGACTGTAGGAATTGATAATTTAAAAGCCGGATCCTATAAAAGGCCAATTTCTAATCAATATGTCAAGTTTTTCTCGTAATTTGGCTGAAAAAACTTGGCATTTTGTCATTAGATTACTCATATTTTGTTTGTATTTTAAGCTAATGGGAGGGATATAAACCCCTCCCCCTGCGAACATCATTGTACATAGGTATCTATCATATACGCATACGGTGTGAGCTTCGAATTAAAGATTGTATTTTGAAAGTGTGTAATGATTTGTCGTTCTTTTGAAATTATAAACTAAAATAAAAGGTACCTACATACTTATCTTTAAGTTTTTACTTGAAAAAAAATTATTTACCTATATTATCTTAAGTCCCAGTCAATATAAAAATAGATTTGGGGGTGGACACCCCTTACACCCCCTCCGTAAAAACGCCACTGGAATTATATTGTATACTGTCTATGACGCGAGATTATCCGGGACAGTATTTAAATTTTAAATTATGGAAAATAAAACAGTATGGTTGTAGGTAATTTATCGGGCTGTCAAAAAAAAAAAAGAAAAAACCCGTAGTTACTTAGGTAGGTTTTATAATAATTAGTTTTATGACAAGATATTAAAATTAAAATATCCAACCGAGATAGGTGACCATGATCCTTTTTAATATGATTTTTTTGTATTACGTATTATTTTTAAGAACTTCTCTACTCAAAATATTGACGCGGTGATAATTTCAAAATATTTTCGAGACTATATAGGCAGGCATTCGAAATATACGAGGGTTTTTTTTTTTGGCTTTATTTGTATTAGTAGTGTCTATAGAGGTATTTAAAACTCAATATTTCCTGTAAAAACACGAGATTTGAGCGTAAAAATCGCGAGGGCTGCATGGGTTGAAACCACCTAAAGGCACTTATTATCTTTGATACTAACGCCATTCGTTTACATATTTTATTCTCTTGGCTTCCTCTGATCTGTTACCTGTAATTTCAATAGTTCATCTAATAGATTTGAGTTGACTCAGTCTAAATCAATCGACATACGATAAATTGACAAACATAATTAGGTATAGGTTACCTACCTTACGTTTTTTATTCAACTGTAGCGGTGCATTAGATAGTACGTGGTCATGTAAACCTGCAGCTTACAATATTCTATAACGCGTCGATGTTTACCGTCTCACCCTTACCTGCTTACCAGTTGTTTAAGAATTTCATTATTTTAATTCGATAATTAATTTTAGACGTTCGTGTTTAAATGTTTTTTTTTTTTTTTTTTTTTTTTTTTGTCATTGGCAGAACGGAAAAAACCGTAAATCGAAAGTATAAAAGTAATAATAATATTATACTATCGTAAAACCAATATTATTGTGCTTGCAACTGTCGCGACGGGGGTTAATTATATTTTAAGTTAACATTAAATTATATTATAGGTCTCTGTATAGGTATTGATGTGCCTATAGGTGGTACCTACTCGTACATATAATACGTATTTTTCTCCGGACATAATGAAACTTCAAACCCCCCGTCGTCGTCGTGGGACAGTATCGTGATTTCGCGCAATTTGTCACCACGATTTGTGTCACTCACTGCGTAGAAAAAAAAATATATGATAATACTTAATAATAATAATTCCGCCACAGAGTTTAGAACTTATATTATGCACAGTGGTATAAGTTTATAGGTAGGCATTACTGCACTGTTCGATTCTCATTGATATAATACTGATAATGCCCTAATACATAACGGGTATTATCGCGCCGCCGATGAGTTGACAATTGTATTATTATTATTCATATTCTGAACATAAGAATGGACAGGGTTGGGCAGTATCTTCGATACAAGTATCCTAAAGACAATTGTATCTCGTATCGCGAAACAGTTCTGAAAAGTATCGACTGTTTTGAATTGCGATACTAAAATCAATATAGTATAGGTACCGAGTATTTATAGATATACTAGTTTTCAAGTATCTTGCTCATAGGCGCACATTCCTCCTCCCCTCGCTATTCGAAAAATACATTAAAAATTGAAAGTGATTGTTTCGACTCGAATCCACGTCCAGATAAATATTCGCTCCGGTTGTGTCTTTATAAATACAATTATTTATTGTGTATACACGACAGTGCATAAACTGTAATATATTATGTTAGAGAAAAACTTTTGATATGGATATCGCTATCTGCAGGGTATTATATATCCGAGAATTTTTTTTTTATGATTACCTAAACGAAAAAACCGAAAGTTTATACCAATAGATAATTTTAAATATTGTATTTACGCTGAGAAAAATAAAACAAATACGGTGCCACAACCACACAGATAAAGTTCTTCTTTATGTGTTGCGCAATTTTTCGATAACTCCATCATAAATACGGATTACGGAAAGACGAAAGTTGTTCCGCGCAAAACATTTCGAACTATCGAATTACATAGATACCATATATTATTTGAGTTATGAGCACGGTTATCTACTGCCGGTAGTCGTTTTTATACGTGTTTAATTTTCACATTTTCACATTTAATAGTCTGAAACACGTAATTTCTCATCCGGAATTAAAATCGAAATTCGACCCCGCGTTTTAATTTCACGATTCATAGCCGGTATTTACATTTTCAGCGCCTTGGAGGTACCTACCCTTTCATGAGAACATTTTTTTGAGCTACATATTTACAGTTGAAAGTACTGTACATAATTTGAACCCTGCCGTTAAGCAAATGCAAATGGTGGATTGGGGTTAATATTAAAAGAAAAACAAAACTACTATTTTAACGTGTCCTATAAAAGATTATGACTCACCTCTTTGAAGTGTAGCGCTCGGGGCCAGCCCCCCCCCCTCCCCCCATAAACACATCACTGTAGGTATAGCGACGAACGTATTTTAAATAACACTTGTTCGGTTTTTTTTTTTTTCAACCGATGTTCAATATTAAACTTCTATCAATAAAAACTTTTGATGGGGCCACTGGCAAACTTCCTCTCGTCGTTTCCGCCGATTGGGCGTTGTCCTCGTAATACGCGCATATACCTACGCATAAAGTGTACGCATTAATCTAATGGCCTGCGCCGATATTGCCGAACCGCGCGTCCGATGATCCACCCGCCGACTGTTTGCATTTAAGTAGTTCCATACTTCCTATACATTATATATGTATATAAATATATAGATGTTAAGTATAATAAAATGTTTTATTGACGGTAAAAATATAATACAAAAATAATGCAAAAACTATAAGGCGAGTGTCGTGTATAAAGGCGTATATTATAGAAAACAATAGGTAAAGCTATATGCAGCAATGCGCCTATACAGTGGTGCCGAAAGCAGCAGTCAAGGGTGGCGCTCGCCATCCTTCTTTTAATGGATGGGTGGTGGTGGATCCATGACGGGTATCTGAGGATTATAGTTTTTTTTCTGTTTTTTAAAAATGCTGTTGCGAATAAAGCAAGTTTTATTTTTTTACCACCGGAGAATGGCGAGGTGGTTTTACTATAGCGCGTGCTTTTTTTCTCTGTCTGTGAACAACTTTTCGAAAAGAAATCTTGATCCGGCGTATACATTATAATATCTATTTTGAAAGAAAAATTTGTCTAGTCAGTGCATGAGGTCATTTTTTATTTTCCACGGGGTTTTCGAAATAGTTGAGAAAAATCCGAAAGAAAATTATAGGTAAAACGATAAATATTTACGGCGCGTCGCAGTGTTACTGATATCATTGTTTTTAATTTTGCAAACGATGTTTTCTATAAAGAAATCTCCTCTCTAATTGAAAAATGACATGAGATTTTGTTTCTTTTAATATATAGCAACTGTCAAAGAAAGCGAGTGTAATTCGTGATCTTTCTGGTAAGAGTTAAGAAAAACCGGAAAATACGTAGAAGGAACGGGGAAATGTACGAAAATAATTCTTGTATTAAATTTTGTTTTTCCAATATAATTCAGTTTAAAAGTATTTTCAGAGTCTTGAAATTTGGACGGAAAACATTTATTTGCTTTTTTTGACCGTGGTCAAATTTTCATGACATTTGAGCTATTTTTTAGCTATTTATAAACATTTATTTTTTCGAGTTTTTTACGTAATTTTTATTTTGATAGGTAGGTACTCGCGATTTGTGGATACAATTGTTAGACCATACAGAAATGCTTAAACATTTGACAGGAGTTCCATTACAAGTCGTACATAGTGGTCAAACAAAATCGAGTGTAATGTAGAATTTGTATTTTTTTTTTTTTTGTGCAAGAGTTTATGAAATGTTGACGAAAATCCTAATTATTAGTCTTTGAAAACATATATAACCGAACTTTGCTTATAATAATTTTACGTTAGCAATAGTTTATCGTTGGTTGCAATTATAAATTAAATAACTTTATGTATTCCACTGTCTCAACTACCCACCTAAAACAGTGGCCACACCCGTCCTCAGTATCAGGTCTTCTTTCTTATTGACATAAAGTACCGCCATGCGAAAAATTCGCATAATTGTAGAAGGTGAATAATTTTTCTAACAGAAAAAAAAAAAGTTGACACGCGCATATACATCTTAATAAAACTATAATAGCTCCGTCGCGTTACGCCGCCACACACAGAACATTAAACAAATTTATATTGATTTATAAATAATTTTGAACCGACGCCTAATACCTATTCGATACAAGTATAATATTATATACCTTATTTATACGAATGTTGTGTTGGACGATTTTTTGTAGAAACATTTATGTACAGTGGAAATAGAGTAATTGTGGGTTTGTTAAAAATTATATACATTTCTGAACTGACTGCAGTTTTTGTTTGAGGCATTATACGAATAATTATACACCACCGCGACTATATAAATTATAATTAATATCTGAGTAACAAATTGAAACGAGAAATTTTCGGAAATATTTTATACCCGCATATTCTTTACTAGTATTATAATATTTCAATGCAATTTTATCAGTATCGCAACGACTCGGCAAGTCGAAAAGTACATTTTTCATTATTATAAATCGTAGGCAGAAAAACGACCCTCGATATTATTTAGACGAGCAATAACGTACCAACGGGGTGATATATTATTATGGCAAGTCCGGATAGCTGTAGACCGCCGTTAATTTATTTTTGTTCAATAAAATACGATTGGGTTATTGTTGTTTTCAAATTGAACGGTTGAAAAAATGGGTGGTTCCAGTACGTGCAATGCAGAATGTGTCGATAAGCGACGATGTGACCGTTAGAGGTTTTTCCATACACGATATACACTGGAAAGGAATAATGTTACGAAATTTAGTTCTTTTTCGTAAAGCCGGTAGGAATATATGGGCGCCTATTCTGAGTACGATGTTATAATTTACGTTAATTAATTCGCGTGATAATATTTTTTTTTTTTTTAGTTCGAAAAAAAAAGCCAGCGTTTTCGCGATTGTATAGCTCGGTAGGGATCTATCTGGCGATATTTTTGAAATGTCAACATTTGTATACGGGGTAACCTTTACCGGCAAACTCCCTCGGCGAGACTTTTTAAATGTCATCGCAGAAATTGGGTCATTATGCATACCGATATTATATTATGTAATACCGTACCTGCGCGATGGCTGATGATTACCACTGTGTGCAGTGCCGGCGGAACGCACGCGCGACCCGTGCGAACAGGGCGGCAAATTTTTGGGGCTGCATCGTTTATGAATAAAATTATGTGTTTTTCACCATTGCTCATTATATTTGCCCGTTGTGAATCTAAAATAAGAATAATGCACATTACGTTCTTTTCACCGGTACTGCGTCGTATTATATTATGTAGTATTAGACATAAGTGCCCATTAACAAACAATGCAATATGGGATAGCCGCCGGCGTTGTTGTTCCGCGCGGCCATCTTTACGGTTTCCCGTTGGCAAACATGAGCCGAATCAAATCACGATAATCACGGTCAAGTCGAATAGACGCGCTTAAACCGTTTCGATATTACATAGGAGAAATGTATGATGTTTTAATCAGAAAACACAAATTTAGATCCAACGGTGAAACATGAAGCTAAATGCCTATGCTATTTCATAAAAAAACGTTTAAATTGATTTGTTCTGTTGTCATTTGGTACGACATACCCCTTAATCATATAATCCAATCGGTAAATTAACGCAAAATCCAAATTTTGACATTAGAAGTATTAGGATATTTTCAATTTTGTATTAGCATTTATATTTGTTTAATCTAACCTAAGCGGTTAAACAGTGAGAGCTCCCTATTCCTACCATTAGACATGTTTACGAACAATTTGAAGTGGGTACAGAAACATCTCTTTTTGCTATTTTACTGCCCACTGCTTCATAGATAAACAACTTCAAGCCGTCACTGACATTCATCATTACTGTATTTCAGGAACGACTGGATCTAGACATTTTAAATTTTGCATACAATTTCTTATTTATATAATGAATTGTATAAATATACAAGGTGATCAATCTATCATAAGACACTCGTTATCTCGGAAAGTATTCAACTTTTTTGGGAATTTGTTTTCTAGAATATTTAAGAAACAAGTTGCTCTACAATTTTTATATTTGTATTATTTTTTTATTACCTTCATTTTTCGGGATAAAACCACTATCTGTTTTTGATTTTAAAATGGTAACCTGTAAAATGTCCATTAATAGATGGAGTATAAATAAATGTTGGTGTTGAAATGTTTGATTTCCATCAATTCATTGACGAGATATTTCACTTCTAAGTTATTACCATATGAAAATTAAAAGTAGATAGTTGTTTTACCCCTAAAAATAATATAAATATAAAATTGTAGAGCAGTTTGTTTCTTAAATGTTCTAGAAAATAAAATCTGGAAAAAGTTAATACTGTCCGAGAAAATGAGTGTATTATGATAAATTGTTGATCACCCCGTACGTGTGTGTGTGTTATGAAGAAAATTAGGGAAATTCGACCCCTAAATTAAACGAATCCGGTCATCAAAAAACGAAAAAATTATTTATCTCGGTTGAATAAATGTGTTATTTGTATTTTTTTTTTTTTTTATAGCTTCTAGCACAAAACTATTATAGCTCAACAATTACAGTACTTAAAATAACAGAAAGATAAAACAACGTAAAAATAGAAATATATGTCATTAACATGGGATTAAATATTTCAAAACAAAATAATCATAATGAATAACATGTATCATCATCAATAAATAGATACATAATGGTGATTAAATTAATGAGGTAGAGATAATTGGGCTATGGAATTTGTTGTCTGTGCAGTGCGCCTGTAAGGAGGGAAATGAGGGAATTTTTAAACGCGGAAAGTTCTGAAATAAATTTGGAAAAAAGACTGTCGTTAATAGCGTTATTAAATAATAGAATATAATAAGAATCGGCGGTGGAGGCGTAAGAAGCCTTGGGTGGGTGAGAAGATGATTTGAGAATAGAAGACGTGAGTACTGTGTTCGGATTTTGACAAATTGAATGGGTTGTTGAGCGACGTTTGAGCAGTGTTTTATATTTTGGACATCCTTTGTAACCGGAAGTATGATCACCCGCGCAATTATTTGTATTATTTATGTGCATTTTAGTTTTCATGGGAATATACAGAACAATAATATTTTAGTTTGTGAATGTGGCGAAAAAGCTACTCTATAGTTTTACTAAGATTTTTTTCAGTACAATTTTTTTGTGATTAGGTATTTTTTATTTTAGCGACATTTTTAACCCGACGGTACTGTATTATCAAAGGATTTTTATTAATACCTACAACACATTAATATATTACGCATGTTGGATATTTGATAAATAGTATACACGTTCCTATATTGCTTTTTTAATCTACGTTTCGATAATTTTGGATATGTTTCGTTTAGATTTTGGATTATTACAATTTCAAATTGAAGTGCACAGCAAAAGAAGTTCACTTTTCGAAATTGTTCCTTTTTAATTTTTGTCTAGAATTTGAAGACAAACTTGCATTATTATTCAACCAAATTTTGTAGCACATATCGAACACATTGAAACTATCAAAAAGTAATTTTGAACTTGCCTTGTTGTTGCATTGAGTCTTTCAATTATAACTTGGACGGGTTTAATATAATTTATTATTTCACGCCGTCGTCATTCTCGTGGGAGCATAATATGAATCATATTATCCTCCTCGTGCCTGGTCAAAATATCGGTTTACTCACTAGGTAGCTAATATTTTATTGTTTTTCAAAGCAATTTTGACCACTTCGCGACTACGTGACGAGGACCACCACGGATTGGATTTTTCATTTTTTCCCGCGTTTCACCGCGATAAATTTGTTATTATTTTTATCCAAGTTTCTATATATTATATAATGTGATTATTTTCCAATATAGGTTCAATATATATTTACGGTGACAACATAATAATGTTATGATATTATATTTTCGCAAAATAAATGTATTCTTGCAGCAACACTGATAGCGTTATATACATACTTATATGCAGGGTGAATATAATCTATCGTAAGACACTAAGACACTATTATTGTCCCGGGGAAAATTAACTTCTATCGAAATTTGCTTTATAGGACATTTAAGAAACACACAGAATTTGTCATGATATGGGCGGACAATATTGATTTATTTTTTTTGTCAAATTTTTGTTAGTAATTTTGTTTTATTGAACCTAGCGTTAATAAGTTATAGTTACTTTATGAACAAATCTAACTATAGTGAATAACTTTTCGCGGTGTACTAACAATACAACAAGTTTAAAAGTTATTAATAGGAGTAACTTCTAACATTCGCACAAGTCAGTGTCCAGCCTTGAATCGATTCGTTATTCTATTTAAATTATTCGAATATGTTTTGGTTAGGTGAAACCATTGCGGTTAATTAGTAAGATATAATTTATAAAGAGTCGTCGGCATAATAACTCTTTATGCACTTCGGTTTTTTACTATAATTAAAGAAACGTGTACATTCATTATGCGTTCTAAATAATTGTAATAATTTTTTGAATTTAAATTTACGTTTCAGACATCTTGACAACAACGGCGTACGATCAAAATGGAGATTTTAATGAAAGACCGACTGGCAGAAAATTATGCCCCCCAATGGAAAACATTCCGCAACCAATTAATCGAGTCAACACGTCTGCAATTCTTCAAGAGTAAATAATTAAATTATACATTAAAAAATAATATAATATTATCAGGGTTGGTCGTAATGTCATTAGTTATTACGCCGAAGTTTAAAATATAATTGATGGAAAATTCAACGAAGGATATCATACATTTATATTAATGATGTACAATAAAAATATAGATTATTAATTGTTTTACATTACCTATATGTTTGTGTATTTTTCAATATCGGACAAATTTAAAGGAATTGAAAGTGGTGATTTCTGTTTTATTGTTTTCTGTCCATCCTCAAGTACACGCGCAACATAGGAACTATATACAGAGTTACCTATGAAGATATGCCCATTATAATATCTCCGGAGATAACAAAGATGATCAACTTCTGTTTTTTTTTCATAATATATAAATTGCTAAAAAAAAGTAACTTTTTATTTTATTATTTTTGAATAATTTGAAGATAGCTTTTTTATTTTCTTCTAAATGTAAAGTCATTTAAAAATTGAATTATAATTATTCTAACTCTAAATTCGATTTTAAGAGTCTTTAGGTTTGTTTTACGTAATAAACACATTTTCGACACATTCAATACGTTAAAGAAGTACAGAGACGAAAAATTATATTGTGGCCATTGACGTATGCAAGGGGGTATAAAGTTATGCCCCTGCAATACTGCGTAGTCTTCACTTCTGCAGCTTCATGTAGAGACCAACAATTGTTCAATATGCATACTTAAACTAGTTAAACTTCGGACATTTTTACAATTTCTATTAACACAAACTGCTGTTAATTATATCATATACCATGATTGAACTTGTGGGAGTTTTCGCATTATATTTTTAATAGGAGACTCAATAATATTTAATTATATGTTGGAGCTCTATTTTTCTAATTGCATAATTCGTGTATGAAATTTGCGTACGCCTATGTATGTGATTACTGTATGTATTTTACATTATGACCAATCCAAAGGTAATTAATATACTAATACAGTATACTATAATATTGTATGAATCGCCTTGTTTAAGATTAAGAAAGGAAATGAAGAAAGCAAAAGCATACCATGGACCTCCACTTGATGCATACATAATACCAGATACGGATGAACATCAAGTACTAATTCATCAAGTATTATTAGAAATTACATTTTAATTTTTACGGTGTTAAAGTTTGTCGATATCCCGTTTCAATTAGAAACTATAAAAGATACCAATACAGTTTTGTGAGTTTCAGATTCGTAGAATTTTAAAATAGATGTATAGATCAGCTAGGTAGACAATGGATATTATATAACTAAATAGAAAGTATATATGTACCTTGATAGTTGAATCAGTTAGCATAAGCTTAATTATTTTTAAAAAAGGGTGATTTATTTAATACTGAATAACTTCAAGGAGGAGAATGTGACGTTGTTTATCCATAAATTGATGGGTGGGTGAGTCAAGAGTTCTTCCAGACTCGCCTGTGATGTAAGTACACGCCGGAACTGTACCAATATATATATATATATTAATATAAAGGTTAGGGATTGTAAAAAATATAAACAATTTTATTCAAATTTCTATTTCGACGTTTTGGTTACTAGTAAAAAGTTAACAATTAGAAAATTGTTTTAAGCAGAGTAGTAAGTTCATGTCAAGGGTAAGGTTATTAAAATGTATCCAATACTAATTTTAATTTTATATTTTATTCCAGAGAACAGTGCCTAGAAATATTTTATTACATAAATATATTATGCTTAAGGGCATGAGGGTAAACACCCCATTATGATCTCACCTTGGACCTACTTCTGATAAATTGGTAGATGGTACATCAATTTTTCTCGCATAACACGAAATACAGATCGACGACACTGTGTAACTGCAATTTGCCAGTATTAAATTTCGAACATGATAACCGTTGAAACAAAATAATTTTAATAAATTCATACAGCGGTGGCTGGAATATACGTTGTTTTAGTGGTTCACTGAACCACTAATTATTTAGGGTGGATGGGTTTTGGGTTGTTCAAATTTTAACAAAATTCCATGCAAAATTCGAATGATTTAATTCTATTGCCATCTTTATCTTATATAATTATCAGAAAAAAATAACGACGTACCTGTAATCTTAATTAACCTTATAGCTTATCTTAACTTTAACTATTCTATGCTACTTTATTTATAAAATAAAGAACCACCCCTAATATCATTTTCGCCTGTTACATTACGCATATATATAATTCATACAGAACGAAGAAGTCGCAGACCATGACAAAAGGTTAAAATACGTGTCGGGATTCAGTGGCACTGGCGGGATAGCTGTCGTCACGCAGACTAAAGCAATTTTTTGGACAGAATGGATGTACTACAAACAGGCGGACGAAGAACTGTCGTGCGACTGGCAACTGTTGGTCCGCGGAGAATCGGTAGGTGAAATTTTCGGCTATTTCTGATCAACTATATATATTTATTTTTTCACCTAACCTAAAGGCAAGAGCGTCTGTAGAATGGAGCGAGGAGGGGCAAAGTTCAAAATTATACCTATTAGTGATGTAAAAATCATAATTTATCTTAATTTCCGGCTATGACCGAGGAAGCCACTGACCTTCCTGGCCCCCTGCGGGTGCTCTTGGCTTTAGATATCCAATGCGTTAACAATTCTCATTATTGTTGTATTTGAACAACACATGTATTGTAGAAGAGATTGGACGAATGGTTAGTGGATGAATTCAAACCCAATGCCCGGGTGGCTGTCGACCTGAAACTCATTTCAAATGGTGACTGGGAGTTCTTATACAGGGCATTAGCCAATGAATCCATCATCCTGGTGCCCATCAACAACAACATAATCGATTTGATTTGGGTGGAAAATCGACCTAGTTATCCTATGCGTGAGGCGTACGTCTGGCCGTTGGAATACGCCGGTAATTTAAATCCTTCTTTTTTTTTTTTTTTGTAATTTGTTCGGCGTTTGTATATTATTGCAGTATGCACATTATATCTAATACTTAAACGTGTATTTTATCTAATTCATACAAACCCGTATTAAGTCCAGAAACTAATAGGGCCACACATTTTTCACTATTAAATTATAATTTATTTTTAATTAGATATATTATAGTTTATGCTAACTATTACATAAAAACATAATATGTCAAAAACTTTGGCACTTGAAACCGTATGACTTTGGGGCATCCCCCAATTTAATCCGAGTTTGAATTTTATACTTTTTTTTATTTAACTCAATTATATAATTGTTAAATAAAAAAAGTTTTTTAAATTTATGTTATGCACACGGTTCCGCGAAACAGGTAAGAAATGGGAAAATAAGTTGGATGAAACTCGCGAAAAAATCAAAGAAATGGGGTGCGACGCGATGGTCGTAACCGCTCTGGATGAGATCGCGTGGCTGTTGAACATTCGTGGTTACGACATACCTTATGGTCCGTTTCTCAAGTCGTACGCCATCGTTAGCAAAGATCAACTGCACCTGTACACTGACCAAGAAAAGCTCAGTATGTCAGTCCGACAGCACCTGCACACGGACAATTGTTTTTCGGCCCATTGTGCCAGGTCAGTATAATACGAGTTTAAGCAGATTTAAGGCACCTTCTTGTGGTTTTTTTTTATAAATTATTAATATAAAAATAGTTAATTTGCCAATTACCAAGTCCCAACCATTCATTATAAATAATTCAATTAATTTTAATTTTCATATTCAGAGACATGCGCACGATCTGTTTTTTGGCTCAAAGTGTCATACTTTACCTACCATCAGGAAAAACTCTCGTGTCTTGTAAAACGTTCTGCTTTAGTTTTTTTTGAAAAGGAAAACTTTATAAAAATGAAATTAAAAATTATTTAGAAAAATTGTCGAAATTTACTGTATTCAAACTCTAATTAAATAAAACGGTTAGAAATATAATTTACAAAATCCAAGTTCACTGCAAAAAGTACTACTCTTTCCAACAAATAAAATAATGGTGCGTCAAAATCAGTTTACGAGGCATTTTCCCTTGTTAACTATATTTTCGAACGAAACAATAAGTCACGCGAATCCACACCGGCCGCGGCATCTAGTAACTCAATCTACGGTTTAATCAACGGACATCATATTACAGCAAAATTACATTACAACATAAATTTATTAAGGTAACATTTAGGTCAAAATGAGAGTTTAAACACAAACAAAATTATGAAAAGCAAAACATTTTTGAGACCTGAACATAACTTTTTTCTAAAAAAATTCCGATACAGAAATTTATAGTCTTGTTAGTTTATGTTTTCTAATAGCTATAACATTTACATGCCATTTTTTTTTTTAGAAAAATGCCACATTAAGCCTTAGAAAATATTTTGATCTTCAAATGTTGTTGTTTGTGTAATATATTTAAATTTCAATTTCAATCTAAATATGCGTTCTAAGTCAGGTAATTTTACCATGTCGGCCGTTAGTTAGTCTATGACTAAAAATGCAGGCGTGGTGTCCTCCCAAGTGTTTAAAACTACTATTATTATACCTCTTATATAATACGTACTATATTTCCATATTTTATCATAAACACGACTTTATACCGCTACAGGGTTCACGACTACGAGGCAATATGGACAGATTTGAGGACACTGTCGCAAGTATGGCGAAAAGTGCTCGTACCGTCGGCCACAGAGTTCAATAGCGGCGCGAGTAGATGTATTTATATTTTGGTAAGTTTTCGCATTGTAATTATTTGTTTCCGATCGCATAGCCCGCATAATAAGAACGCGTGTATTTTAAATCGACCACTTTCACGTTTCAAATTAATTATAATTGAAACTTTTTGATTTTGTTGATTGGCAACAAACGTCAAAGGTATATGCGGGTAGTATTTTATAGTATTAATCTGTTTAATGGAATACGGGTATTCTATAGTTTATACGATTTAAATAAATTAATAAAATAAATGTACCCGAATGATATTATCTAAAAACTAAAGGCATAATAAATTGCATCGCTCTCGTCAATCATAATACCATTGATCATAAATAATGTAATACAGTTTAATAGTATTTATATTATAATGATTACAGTAAAATCCATTTAAGATTAATATACAACTATATACAAGTGTAATCATTTTTTTTTTGTAACACGAATATTGTGTACTCATTAGCGATATTAGCTAAGAGAATACTACACAAATTATGTTATTTTAGTATTGTAGTTATTGCAGTGGCGCAACTAAGAGGAATCAAAGGGTGCGGTCACACCCGGGTCTGTTCATTTAAGGGGCCCGAAATAATATAATGTTTTTCTTTAGATAATAATATGTTATTCAATTTTATTATTAATATTGTAATATTATAACCCGAATGAATGCCAATACTATGTTATCACTTATAAACAATTATGTTCATGATGAGTATGGTACCTATTACTGTGAAAACCGTACAACTTTTATAGTTTTATCATTGTATACTGAACCTGACGTCGAGTTTTATTCCTAACATATTATATTTATTAATAATAATTAGATGTGTATATTTTAATAAAGTATACAATCATTTTTTTTAAAAAAATTTCAGTAAGAAGGATGTATTTATAGGGACATGTGAGGTGGGCTCAGCTCTCCTTAATGAATGAAGAGGCCATTTGAAAATTTCCCTTTTGGGTTTAAAACAAAGTTTTAAGTTTTGAATTATTATAATCAGAGTTGGGGACTTATATTGCATATTAAATCAAGCGTTTTAAACATTTAATTATAGCTCTTATATAAAATAGCCCTTAAAAAATATTAAAAGAAGGGGAAATATGCTAATAAAAAGCATTTGTACTTAACTAGGTATTGAAATTAGCAAAACAAAAATCATCTTCAAATTTTATATTTAAATTCTTACATTTTTGTATTGATTAATGCGAAGCGACTACTGACTTAATATGCAAGTAGATAAGATAACACGAACAAAAAAATATAAAATTGGAAAATAGAATTTAGTAGGCAAAATTATTTAAGAATCATAGAGCGGAAAAAAACTAAGTTTTGTAATCGCAAAGTATAAAATATGGAAAAATAACTACCGAAATAAGTTAAATAAAGCACTTTAAAATTTCATATTTAAACTCTTTCTAACCTGACATAAATGTCTATAGTACTGAACTAGATTGAATGGCACACTTAAAAATGCTGCAAGTTTTAGCCCTGATTATAATTTGTGCTCATTTGCGTACCATAATATTATAGATACAAGCTGACAAGAGAAAGCAAGCTCCTTCGCCGATCATGTACATGATAGCGGAAAAAAATCCCGTGGAAAAGCAAGGAATGCGGTATTCACATGTCCGAGATTCGGCGGCGATGTGCAACATTTTAGCTAAACTCAACGAACAGGTAATTGCTTAATGTTTATTTGTTCGTTGTTCTTTAATATTGTGTTAGACGCATATAAGAGTCTATTATGACCAGAGGTAAAATTACCATGGTATATTGTTTGTACCCTGAAGCTGGTAGATATGACGAGGATATAGATACTATAAGATATAACTATACCTCTTTAGGGAGTATTGTTTTCTAATGATAATTGAGTCCCTGGCTTGTGAGATAAATATACTTTTTATATCTTAGGATTTTAGCAACGGGTAATTATCCTAGGATAATCCTCCCGAGTGGAGTGTTATGATTTTATGGCGGTACAATTTGTCCACTGGACATATTTTATAGTCGTTATTTATCTTCGTTTTAAATCAATGTATAATTTCATTATAAAGTTTCGAAATGGACAGCAACTCACAGAGCTTGCTGTGGCCAACATGGTGGACAAGTACAGAGACGAACAGAACCACAGTCGAGGGGCCAGTTTCAGGTCTATTGTGGGATACGGGCCCAATGGGGCTATACCTCATTATACCCCATCGCCGGCCACAAGCTTGAAACTCGACCACATGAGTACGTTAGTCATCGACAGCGGTGCTCATTATTGGGGTGAGTAATGCATTATTGTATTGTATTATATAAGTACTTATAGCAATAGATTCTGTAACTTACGAACGTTTCGATTAAAACCAAGTTCAATACATTTGATATTTCAATTAAAACAAAATCATCTGTGAGCAAAAGAACTCTGTCACTATTAGAGTTCAATTTTCCCTAAACTAATTTATTTATTTATTTATTTATTAATACGGACAAAAGTCCAATTCACAATATATTTGTATAGATAATAAAATATATTTTTTTATAAATTTTTTTAATAAAGGATTTTCCTATTTATTAGGAAACTCCTGGGAAAATCAAAAATAATTACCTTCTTAGAGTACCACCCCAGACAGATTTCCTTTCAGAAAAAGTTTTACACAAAATCAGAGCTAAATTTCTTTTCGAAAAGTTGTTCACAGACAAAAAAGAACACCTAATGAAACAAATAGATCTATCGCTACGCTTCGGATTTAAAATTAAACATCATTATAAAACAAACACATTCCTCGTTACTCTCCGTATTTCAAACAATATTGTATTTTGAGTTTTTATTTGAATTTGAAACGAAAAATATAAGTTTTAATTTTTACTATCCAAAAAGAAATCAAGTTCTAATTCGAATTCGTAAAATTAATGTAAATACTTGTCACTGTACAGTTTTACGCTGTCGAAAACTCGACCTGATCTGCGTATTTAATACAAATGCTCTCGTCGTGTCATGCCACTATGATGGATTGAGTGACCTTATGCACCTATACTAAATAGAAAGTAAACAATTTCGATTATTTGCAATTATAAGTTGTAAACAATATTATATAATTTTATAATACGGTGTATAAGTACCAACGTGTAATAATATGTTGACGTCATGAGTAGATAATCGAAAGTGCGTTTTCTATTTTTGCAATTTGCATTGCGTTTGAAATTAGTCATAAACCTTTTACTGATATGGAACACGTAAAGACGGGTAATAATAAAAATTATATTTTCACGTTTTAGATTCTAAGCGGAGCGAGGGATATATTGGTTTTACGATGATGTTTTTTTTTTTCTATATACTGTGTACGAAAATTCTACCAGAAACCTTGCTCCGATAAACCAAGTGTAGCACTTTTTTCGGAAGTCAATTTTATCTAATATGGGTACATAGATTTTTCCAAGCAGTTTTCGTAATAATTGGGGAAAACCTGGAAAATACGTAAAAAAAACTGGAAAATGTACGAAAATAATGTTTTTGTTATTTACAATTTTTTTTTTTTTTATTAAAATTCATTTCAAAATGTTCGTAGAGACTTGACGTTTGAACAAAAAACTTATGTTTGCCGTTTTTAGTCGTGGTAAAATACTTAAGACATTTGTGCCATTTTTAAGTTATTTATAGACATTTTAATTTTGCTAGTTTTTTAAATAATTTTTATTCAGTAAGTACGCTGTGGATAAAATGTTTAAACCAAACAAAAATACATAAAAATTTAATGGGAGGTTCGTTATAAGTTGTGCTTAGTGGTCAACAAGAAAAAGTTGAGTTTAAGGTAGTTTTTTTTTATTTTTATAATAATTTTATTATCAAATTTTGATCAAAATCGTAAATATAACGGCCTTTCAACACATGTATAACCGATCTCCGCTCAGAATCGTTATTCGTTAGCAAAGATTAATCGTTGCGTACAAATATATATTAAATTCCTCCCTATATATCTTACCTTCCCAACTTCTCATCTACAAGTAGCCTACTCATCATATGAAGTACGTCCGTCTTTTTAACTAACCTTTATTATAATATGTCCATAGTTCTTCAAATAATTATAATAGGTAATACGGTTCGTTGCAGCGTCAGCGTGTACAATGTAAACCTATTACGTTTTACCGAACGCCCTTTATAATATGTAAAGGCCAACGAAATCCTTAATAATTAAAATGTATGGTCGGTCTCTATATGAATCATATATAATAGGCAGAGGTGATGAAACGTATAACGTATGGCCCATTTAAGGGGCATGTCACTCCCCTTGAAAAAATGTTAATATTATATTTTTTTAATCAACACCCGGTGACATTTGTGTACCGTTGTTGTATAACTGTAATACTGTTACAATTATCTACTGTCAACTATCCTGTTTCGATAATATAGTATTATAAATATAAAAATTAATATAAACAAAAAGTGAATGGATGTTATAAGAAGAAAAATCATTTTGTCTCTCCCAAAAAGTTATTGAAAAACGGATACGATATATTATACAGTGGCGTGCGCCGTGCGCAGATAAAGGGAGGCTGGTGGTTATGCACCGCTCATTATTGCCTTAAACGTATAGCAACTATATGAATATTTATTCAGTAATTTAATCTTGAAATGTACGTACATATTTCAGCCAAATTACAGCTTTTAAATTTTTACCGCGGTCGTCGGGTTATGGGTATATTGAAGAAGACCCTACAATTTATTCGTCGTAATTATTTACTATCCCGTTAATATAACCCGCCCGTTGAAAATTCCCATTCGCGCTATAGGTATATACTGCATATACTGCATATAGAATACAGGTGAATTTTAACAAAATGATTAATATTTACGGGTTTTTTATTATTTTTATTTTTTTATAACACACGTGTATTGCAGACGGTACTACGGACGTGACGCGGACTGTGCACTTCGGACAGCCGTCGACCGTGCAAATCGAAGCTTACACGCGAGTATTGATGGCGTCCATTGACCTCGCGTCGTTCTCTTTCCCGTGCACCCTGACGCTCAACCAGATCGACGTGATCGCCAGGGCGCCGCTCTGGGACTTTAGTTACGACTACAAACACGGCACCGGCCACGGGATCGGGGTGTTCCTCAAAGTCCACGAACGTAAGTCAGACGAAACGCGTACAAAGATTACCCATAGGCTATGCATAATTTACAATACGTACCTAAATAAAGTGTCTCGGAGACAAATCCGAATTCCCTATAATATAGCACGTGGCGGTCTGCGGGAAATCCGTATAGGAATCAAAACCCCGCAGTAGACTCTTGCGGAACTCACAAAAAAAAAAAAAAAAAGAATCCCTAGAAACTTAGGAAATTTCCAGTAGTATTTCGACAGCGCCAAGCCGAAATATTTTTCCGGACTCCGCCGTAGAATTATTATTATTCGTCATCGGTAGTATAAACAATACGTTAATATTCAATTATATTTCCCGTATAAGATATTATTCGCCTTCTTATACGTGTAATATGTAAGTTGGTAAAACGCCGTCGCAATTATTATAATATTGTAATGTTCAATCAATTCCAATTGTTTATTTATATTCGTTTACGTACCTACATGTTCGTTGTACATTATAGCTCCTGTAAACATGTATTACGGACAGAAATCAAGTGACGTGGTTCTCAAGGAAGGATATTTCATATCTGACGGTAAGTATGGTATATTACGCGTAGTCGATAATTTAAAAAAAGGCAATATTATTATTGTAACGTGAAAACACGGTTTGACGCAATTATGCGTATTAATCCGATGGCGTTACTCGTAATATGTCAATTATAAAGTGATAGTAGAAACACTCGCGTAACGTTTGTTCGAACATTCGCTATGTTTGTAACGTGTTTTAAACTATAGATTTATAAAACAAATGTGTCCCACCGTGTTCGACGGACTTTTTTTTTAGCGTTGTTAATATTAAATTTTTATTTTCATTCCCTAAACATAAAAACAAAAATGTATTTATTTAATCACTTTACGCGATTTTCAAAATAGCCATTTTTAAAAAAATATTATTCTAAACATTTGAATGTGTCATGTGTTCATATTCGATTAATAGTTGCTTAATTATATAACCGTTTTAATTTCTTGAAAACAGGCGTGAAAAAAATTCGTATTTAATAGAAGGTAAAGAATTATCGTGCTGGTTGTAAGTTCCTCTAAATAAAAAGTAATTTTTTTTTTGTCTTTAGAGGATGAAAATAAAAATTTAATTTTTCTCCAAATCGATGACCCCCTTAAAGACAAACCGAAAAATAATTGAAAAATAATAAAACATTTTTTAAAAAAATTGGAATATTAACAGCGCTAGAAAAATCCGTCGAACACGGTGGGACACACTGTCAACATACTACAGTTTTAAACTGAAATATCAGCTTTAAATATATGAAGCGATAAGAATAATGATTTATTTTTTTCAAATACAGAGCCCGGATATTACAAAGAAAATCATTTCGGAGTCCGTCTGGAAACAATACTAGAAGTGATACCGAAAGTAATAATTACAAATTAAAAATAAGGCACGCATAATACGTGTCGTGAGCAAATTAAGGAGTATATCTTATTAGATTAATTTTGTTTTCGTTCCTATAACCATCACGCAGAAATCATTAACAATCCCTAAATCATGCTGTTTAGCAAATTATAATTACTTTTTTGTATACAACTATAATAACATGCAGGTAATATGACCAAAAAAAAAAAAAAATAAAAAAATAACTACGAGCCTATTCGTCGACATAGCTCCGTCATTATAGAGTTAAACTTTTCACGATCTATTTTGTATTAAGTACCTGTATAAATATTCTTTGTGAAACATTAATAATCAAATTCACGTACCTAATATAACCACTGTACTACAACCGTTATATTAATTCCTAAAAGATACTTTCCCCCCACCCAAAAACAAGACAAAAACCAAAAGGCCCAAAAGTGAAAAGGTACATCGTCTTTTACGCGTGTGTCGCGTACGCATTCCGTTCAGAAATCTTCGGGGGCGTTCAGAGCTAAACAATATTCCTACTTTCGCAACCACTGAAATCAATATTGAAATTAAAAACCACACTTAAATCCACCCACAATACAATTCCGGTTTCCGGGTTCGGGACCCTTTGGCCCGGGAGGAACTGCCGAAAGTGTCCGAAAGTTGCGGGGAAAAATACAAATATGCATTGTAGCAGACGCGACACTAGTAACACGGTGCGATAGTCTCGGGGGATCATCGACGAACACCGAAAAAGCTTTTCCCGATGCAACTCTGCCATTCCAAATGGCTAATTGCGATAATTTGTTACTCTACGCATTTTCAACTTTCCGGACACGATTTCTCCATGCCGCGACATCATTACAATGACGTTGTTCATTCGTGCTGTCGCGGTGTCCGCATCGTACAATCGACGTTCCCGTAGCCCATGAAAACTCGACCACCGATAGGCAATGGAGAACGACGTGATAAGCGACGGCCGCGCATCTAATAGTAGCGGAATATTACACGAGTGCAATCCACTTGTACACTCGTATATAACATTTAAGTCGTTAAAACCCGCACGCTTTCTCATTGTGATTTTCAGAACGAAACAGCGGGCAAGTATTTGACGTTTACGCCGATCACATTGGTACCGTTCGAACCGAAACTCATCGACTACTACATGCTCAGTCCGAAACAAGTGCGTCTAGTAGAATATACAATGCAGTACGAGTAGAGATAAACAATTTGATAGCCTATATAAACAGGGTATAAAGATGGCGCGGGGTTTTCAGTAAATTTACCGTCGATTTATCCGGGTTACCTTGGCGGCACGGGCGGAAAACAAAAAAACAGTTATTATTAGTTGATATTTGGTCGTTACGGGAAAGTAGGTACTATTTAAAGAAAAAAAAAAAATAATAATAAAGAAAATACCGGGAAACGACGGTCAATTGTGAACGGGGGGGGGGGGGGGGGGGTTATTGAAAACGTTTTATTTCCTTCTATTACTATGCAACAGAGTCGTTCCCGTCCGAAACCCGTGCGGGACAGTTTCATATTATACGGGTGTTATAAACTATAATGTACCAAATGCTTGTTGGCGGTCTTCCGAATTCGAGTTTCACCGACGAAAATCATTTTCGCGTCCCCCGCCATGGCGCGCCGCTGTCCCGTCATCACGACGCAAATCTGCAGCTACGCGTCGACCCCCACACGTTATCTCCGTAAACTCCGCTCCCCTCCTCAACGCCAATCGTCGCGGGCTAGCCGGTTTTTTTCTACGGTCCGTTCGCCGGCTCGTTCCGCAACCCATCGGTTATTTATTTCGACGATACCGCGTTGTATTATTATTATGCGAAATATTAACGCGACGCATTATTACAGGTGCGCTGGCTGAACGCGTACAACGATAAGATCCGGAAAGAGGTGGGCGCCGAGCTGCTGAAGAACAACCGCAGTCGGCTGGGCTACGAGTGGATGATGGCCCGAACGCACCCGGTGTTCTCGGACGGTCGCCGGAACAATGGCCGTTATTTGGCGATCGTCGCGGCCGCCGCCGTCGCTCTGTTCGTCTCCGCCGCAACGGCCGTCGATTCGCCCATCCAGACACTGATATAATACACACGCCGACCCCGTCAAAATATTTCCGCTAACCGCATTTTATTATTATTATTATTATTATTATTATTATTGTTATTATTTGTTATCAGTTGTTATCAGACGTCGATTATAGGGAGATTAGGCGTTGCGATTAAACGCGAGTTAAAATGTACGCAGCAGGTATAGGGTCGGGATATTTACGCGCGTTAAAAAAAAGCGAAAACCTAATAAAATAGTCGAATCCGCCGGTGGAAAACGGGCAAAGTATGCGTTACGAAAATAATTTTTGTTTACACGAAATACACATAATTTTCCTTCAGATTCGGGCCAGAGAACGTGCAGATACACAGCTCCGTAATTCGATCGTAAAAACTACGGTTTTTCCGGGGACAAATCCGTGATAAAACTCTTCCCGTATTAATGTAGCGCATAGTATAGAATTGCTAAAATCGCGCAACGTTTTAAGGAAGAACTTTGTATCCGTGTCGTAGCGTTCGCTTTTTTCCTTCGCGTGTCGCTCTGCACTATACAGTCCTAGTTAAAATTTGATTTTGTTCGATTTTTAGTGTACAAACATCCTGACTCTAATTGTCGAGCTTCTTATATGTTAATAACATATATGTAATTATAACATTAATCGTAATATTATTAACCGTGCGTTTCAATACCGATGATATCGAACAATTTCTATGTAGACAATAACGTCAATAATACAATAAAAAAGGTATATATATATTTTTTTTTACCTACATCAATATAATGTAGGTGAAAAAGTATCCGAGAACAATAATAGACAAACAAAATAAATAACAAATATATAATAATATGTATGATGTAAATAATACATAATAAATAGATCAATAGTACACAATCTATCACAATAATAAATAATTTTTCGCGTTCCGAATGCGCGTTTCTCGATTAAATTTCATTGTTTTTTTAATTTTTTTTTTTTTTAAGTAGAATAATATTATTGTATAATACGAGTATAATAAATATATATATATAAGCACAATTTTTACAACAGGCGCGAATCCGAAGGGGTGGGCAGGGTGCCTAGGACACGGGGCCGTTTTTTTTAAAATCATAAAAAAATATTTTCAAACTGATTGATTTTATTATTTTCAAAAAAAAATCGCCTATTCTTTACATATAAAAATTCTGTGGGACCTGTATCAGCCGCAGCGTTCACTTAAAATTAGAGTCCAGATTTGTACATAAAAACGCATTTTTAACGGGCGCGTGCTTTTTGCGCGTGCAAAAACAGCACGTTTTTGTCGGAAGTAATCGGAAGTACGTTTGCGTTTTATAACCCGTAGAATCTATAGAAAAAAAGTTTTTCGTTTCGCGTATTCGTGCATATTTTCACCTTGGAGAATATTTCGGAATATTTCCGCTACATTGGATTATAATATTGTTAGAGAATATTTTTGAGGTTCTTGTCGAGTTTCAATTTTTAGACGCCGTTACTCGGCGGCAATCTCTTGTGATAAATTGTTGTTAGTCGTTAACGGCATGAAATCCGGCCGTAGACAATAGACAAAGGAAGGTATAAACAACAAGTATATTTGTACACAGACAGGCGGTACCCACGGTTTCACCAATATTAAAGATGAATATAGCATAGATACAATGATTATCGCGACGCCCATCAATATAGGTACCGATGCAGTATGACTAAGGTCTTACTGTTTTGGTTAACCGTTAAACGTTTTTTTTTTTTTTTCGTGGAGAATATTTTGTAAATTTTCGCTCCGTATAAACATATCATATTTCAAACGTTTTAACAGAATATTAACCAGGACTCTACTGTCCTGGATATCCTTTTTTTTTTTTTTTTATAATTATACCTATATACTGTAATTTCGTTTAGGATTTTTGTCGGCACCCCATCCTCTGCCCCCCCCCCCCGCCTCGCGATAAGTATTATCGCTATAGCGGATCCGCCCCTCTCTCCCTCTCCCGATTTACAATATTATATTATATTTTCGTCGGGTATATTATAATAACGTTACGTAACACTACGTTTCGGCTAGGATCGGCGACGACGATGGCGTTGCCGCAACGGTCGTCCGGGATCGGCCGTCGCCGTCCTTTAGCGCTTTGTGTATTCTGGTCAGCGCTTTGTCCGTCGCGTTTTCCTCGTGCTTGCACACGTACCGGTGTCGGTTGCTGCACTCGGCGCCCGAGTACGAGTACACCTTGGTCGCGGCGTTGGGCGTGAGTCGCAGGCACCGCCCGGACCCGGCGATCTGGTCTTCGGGCCTCGTCGAGTCCTTCGGCACCACCGGCCGCGCGCTGTTCGCCCAGATCCACAGCAATCCCGGGTTCAGACCGCCCGTCCAATAATCGTAACCTGTTTAAAATTTATCGCGCACGCGACAATTTATAGAACTTACAAAATATTTACGGGCGATCAAACATCCTATATTAAACTGTTTAGCAAAATCCAGAGGATATAGAATAATGTATGATGATGAGAATATATTAGACGATGGTAGAACAATCAAACGAGTAACAGATGAAAGAATTAGGGGTAAAGACCCTTCGGAAGGCTCCTCCCTCCTCCCCCTCGAACACGATGAAAGGACGTGCGAGTGATACGTAACGACAGAGCGATACAGTGGTGGTAGTGATAGGACTATGCACATGACCCGTTAAGCTATTAGGAAGAATACTATTAGGCGCGTTTTGGCGATGTGATTTTGAGCAACCTGCAGGTTGCTATCATAGTTTGGCGAACACATTTTTTTTTGGGATATTGTTTACTGCAATAGTATTGTTTAACAACGGAATGTACTTTCGACAACAAAGTTGCCGGAACCAGTAAACGGTTAAAAGCTAGGTTTTCTGTATTCGGTTATTTACTGCAGGTTATCCGTTGGTAAAATGCTATACAGTAAACAAAAAGTTTTAGCGATATTGCAATCGAGTAGCAAACAATACAGCAAACCATGTTTACCGAAAACTCCAGCGCCAAAATACGCCTATTAGTAGCAGAAAATGAATTTGTAAACAAAATGCGTTTCCCTGTCCCACTCAACTTCTTTCACTATTATTACACAGTTCGAAGGCGGTTTTGTAACTTTTACTATTTCTGATATTACCGCGGCTTTCAATTGTGTAAAATTCGTAATTTTTCTCTTATTAAATATAAGTAAATGGCTAGCTTTAAAAAAAATGAAATCGCAAAAATTATTTCTAATACATGTTTGCAGTTTTCGCTCTTTAAAACCAAACGTCATCAATAACTTACAAGAATAAATTTGTTGTCATCCATGATAAAATTGCACGCCACAAAAAAAATAGCCGCTCTCACATTTAAAGTTTAAAAGCGTGATAGGTAAATTAATATTATTAATTGTTGAGGCTCACCTCTCAGGTACTTGTCACCTACGAGATACGTCAGCACGTCGATCTGTTCGTCTTTATTGTCGAACTCCAACAGATTTCCACCCAAACTCTTGCACATTGACATGGCCGATTTCCAGTTGTACTGTCTCTCGCTAAAGTGATAACAGGCGTGTACGATTCGCGTGAAATTTCCGGGACAAGGATCTGCGCCAAAATATAAACAGTAATAATAAAAGTGTACGCTAGTGCACAATGTGCACTGCAGTACAACCAGGCACGCACACAAAAAAAATTTCGAGGAGCAGTGCATACAATTAAAAAAATTATAATGTCGAACTATAGGACTAAATGCTTAAGAAGTAGAATTTTTCATATTTCGAAGGGGGATTTGGCTCAACTCTAGACACGTGCCTGTGTGCAGTGTACATCGTATAATATACAGCTACATTATTAAATTGTGTATTAATTATAGTTAAATAATAAATATATTTATTATTATTAATTTGTATTTGTATTCGAGGGTGCCCATCTGTAAAAACCTAAGGGGGTGATAATCATAACATAAAAAACTTAAAAACTAAGATACAACAAAATTGATTTTATTAAATAACGAAACAAACATAAGTTTTCATATATCGGTTTGTAAAAGTAGATGATATTATTTTTCACATAGACTTCGGTTCGGCATTTTAACACAACATAATAAAATTATAGACGCACATAATTAGTATTTTAATATTGCGGTTAGGTGCGCTTTGCAATTTTTTTTTTCTTAAAGTTCTATTATATTATGTTCCGATCTAAAAAGAATATATACATAAAAAACAAACAATAATAATTATTGTTTAACTATTGAATTTTAATAAAACAGAAGAATGGTAACCAATAGCGTAATCAAGGGGGGTAGAGGGATTAAGCGCTCCCATGGGTCGTCTGAAGCCCTTCCCAATTTAGAGGCAAATCCCCCATGGATCAAATTTATTTATTATTATGATGGGACTCAAGTTCTTTCTCCGACATTTATGAGCTGCTAATTGCGCAACTGATAGTTATGAACTATAGGTATATTTACAGTGCGATGATAAACATAGTGCGTTTTCAGAGTAGGTATAGGTGTTTAAGTGTGTCTACCTATAGTATATTATAAATAAGATGGCACCATGATAATAGTTGAAAAATGATATATTTAAATATTGTTATCTCGCTATTTATAATGTCAAGTTGTTTGAAAAATACCATATACTTATATGATTAAAAAATATTAACTTCCGAGTCGCTGTTATTATTGTTATTTAGTTGTTTTATCGCACATAATTATTTAATCACTGTAGCAGTAACATCCCAACTATTAAAATATTTGTTAAAAATGTATGATTATTATATTATGCTTATTTTAAATTTTAATTTTTAAGTATACAAAATATTATATTATAATTATAATAAATAAGTAGTTACTGTCATTATTTTATAAAAGATCGAATTTTGAATTTGATTTTTTTTGATTTTGAAATAATAGATATTATTAACAGGTAATTTACAATATATAATTTTAAGTTAACAGCAAAGAAGTAAATAGATTATATATAATTTAAAGGCCAATATATTTATACACGATAATGCGCATTGTATAAGAAGTACCATATCGTACTTTATTTAAAATATCATCATACTGACAAAGTTCGACAAAATTTTAAAATAAAAATTGTATATTATATTCATATTTTATCTAGTCAATATCATCATAATTATTAATTATATTATACGCGAAGAAAATAATAAATGTGTTCTTCTCATAATCGTATTTACAGTGATATAATTTTATTTAAATCGAATGAAAATATATTCGTTCGAAAATGTACATACCATATATCTTTGAATTTAAAAAAGAATGCTTCACGTCAATTTTTGTCTTTTTTTTATATATCATTTTTTCCCCAATGTTTTTTTTCCGCTCTAAATGACACCACTACATAAGTGTATGTATTTTCAAAATTAAATTTGCTTGTATTGAAAACTATAGACAATGACTTGAGCTCTTCTACCCCGGGACTAAAGATATATCATAAATATTTTTAATTTTAACTGCATCATGAATTATTCAAGTGAATAGATATTACGACCAGGTAGGTCAGGTTAATCTGAATGACGTTTCAAAATGTATATAGTAAATGAAAAGTATAAAACTTCCGAAGGATATTTTACTCTGTGAATTGAAATACAATAATTTCTATAACTCAAAACAATTATTTGTTTTGTACATTAGGTATGCAGTATTACTATTCAAAACTATCCATATATAAGATATAAAATGTCCTTACAATTTCCTCGTACTTCAATGACATCTTTTGTGCGAAAACGAGACAAATTGAAAATTAAAGCTCAGTGCAACAATTGTTTTACCAACTGTATAAGTGAGGTCATCGTAAATTTAAACGTATATATAAAATATATAATATGCTGTATAATTATAGAAACCATACATAACCGCTCATACGATAATTCGTATCTATACGAAACTTTTGGTTTCAATAGGATAGGTTAGGTTAGATTTCGAACGGTACTTATAATATACGAGAATACATTTAAATTAATCAATATAGGCGAGAAAGAATATTGTTTCTAATTTAAATTTCCCTTGAAAATCTGTTTAATTTCGTTCTTTAATGTATGTTACAAATTAACAAGCGATAAAAATAATTTCCTTGTAAATTTTTCGTATAAGGTGTCTACAATTATTTATTGATAATATATAATGCAATTGTTTAATCTAAAAATAAAAAAACTATTTAGTAATTGCAAGTGATTGCCTAATAAATAATGGATACATAAACATAATATCTACACACTTTAGATTCGAGTGTAGAGAAGTAATATTAGTGTATTAGTTTTACTAATATGCATTTTTTTTTTTTTTCTATAAATAAAAATGTTCCAAATTATTTGTATCATATCTACCTTAACAAATGCGGTTATTCATCCGATGGTAATTTATTTAAAAATCAACGAATTTTCTAAATAATTTAAAAAACTGATCATAAATAACATTAGGTACATCAGTTTTTTTTTTGTTGATATCTGAATTACCTTTTGGCTGTAAGGGGGAAAAAACAGGACTAGGAGACTAAAAACAGGACTACCTACTCATACTACTCCGCTCGGAATCAGTTTTGATTGCAACGATTTATCGTTAGGTACCTATTATTGCTTTCAGTACACAAAATATAAATATAGTTACCACAGTTAGGTATCCCATTCACATCATATACTTTATTTGATTTATAAAATTCTTTAAGTATACATATTTTTTTGCATTATTTATTAGTAATTCTACAAATAATGGGATGATAAAAATACAAATTCCATGTTATACATTATGTCACTACAAAACCTAATCTTTAGCCCGGATAGTCTAATAATTACAACAGTTGCTATTATTATTCGACTAACAGTTCTAATTTGTTATTAGGATGGATATTAAAAATAAAAAAGTTTTCAGTGTAATTGCTCTATAAAAAGTACATACCTACCCATAATAATATATAGCAGCCATGTTTAGTAATTACTATAAATTACCAACCTGCGTATTTTTATTTTGAAATGTATGTAAATTAGTCAGGTACCTACTAAATGATAATTTACAATAACTACATGTTACCCAAAATTAAACCATACAGTCAATTATTATTACTAAAATAATCTATTTATAATTTTAGATTCTGAGTGCAGCGAGAAGGAATGTATATTGATTCAACTATGTGCGCTTTTTTTTTTACATTTATTAACAATTTTTCTACCTGGAATCTTGTGCCAATCAACAAATGACACGAGAGGTTTTTTGTAGTACGTTGGAGCAGGTTAGCGCGTAGTAGATGCCATTTTTTTTTTATTTTCCTTGCGGTTTTCATAATAATTTGGAAAACCCGTAGGAAAAAAGAGAAAGTTTACGGAATTAAAGCTTTCATTAATATCGATTTTTTGTTTTTTTTTTGTTTTTGTCATTTGGTTAAAAGTAATCGTAGAAACTTGAAAATCGCACCGGATACTTTTATTAGTCATTTCTAAATATGGTAAAATTTTAAAAACATTCAATCGAATTTATTAACTATTTGTAGGAGGCATTTGACGTTTTCTTGTTTTTATTTGGTTTTAGGTACATGATTGAAATTATTTTTATATTTGTTTTTAGTCGGTATCACCTACGTGATAAGTATACTATAATTATTATACCTATATTCCGAAATATACCTAATCATACATATCAATATTATTATAATTTTCGGGGGTATATAATAATTATCGGATAAAACAAACGCGTGTTAAGTTTTTTTTTTCTTAACTATTTGTTATAACATTTAAATAATTACAGCAGAAAAAAAAAAAAACTATAAATGTGTAAAATACGAATAAAGAAATAAATATTTAAAGAAAAAAACTATGCCTGGAGTATTATAAAGTAGTGTGTATTTAAAACTGGTTTCCAAAAAAATCATCATAAAATACGACAAAGGCGGAAAAATAAAACTTAAATACAAACAATCTGCATAGGTACCTACTGCCTATTCCAGACTGAAGTTTTTTCTTCGTGTTTACTATTTTATTTTCAAGTAGATATTAATCTCCAAAATAAATATTTTGTTTTTTTTCTCATAGTTTTTATTGGCCTATAGTAAATAACACGTGTTAATTTAAAAAATAAATAAATAAATTGTAAACACTATTACCTATGAAAATAATATATTTTTAAATATTTTCGAAATACTAATTACCAATTGGCAATAATTATGCCGTTCAGAATTATAATTAGTATTTAACAAGCCATAAAATTCATTATTAATTACAGCCTGTAATTAAATCGTCAGCATAAACCGCATACAATCAAAGGATATCATATACCTTAAATTCTTAATTTTAACTATTAATAGAATTTTAACATTTAAATAAGTAGATACTTTAAACAATCGTTTCAGAAAATAAAAACCCATGTTCGATATAGTAGGTAAAAATATATTTCTCACATAACTTTGATCAGTTTTAATAATCAATAATACCCCTGCATAGATTAATGTTATTTTTTTGAGTCTCGGTGCAATTGTTTGAAAATCATAAGGTGAATGAACACATCGTACCTATACAATTTAATATTATTTTCAAAATACATACTTTAATCTTAATGTTTTTATTTAAACGGTTTGCAGCTCTCGGACTCATTAAAAACTAACACGATTCTATCTTATTTTAAAAATTACATAACATATTTTACGTATGTATAGCTTACCTTCTCTATTTGCTGCACTCCCTTCTACGATGTGCTGAATAAGTTCTTCTGAACGTTTTAATCGTTTTTCCATTAAATCCATTCTGTGCACTAACTTTTCTATAGCACCGAGTAAATACATGTCGGTTTCCGAAACCTTTAAATACGTTAGGTATAGGTGAATTCAACAGGTTAACTTATATCTTTATAATATTTTAGTCCGTTTTTTAACTAAACTTTACAATACCAATTAATTTGTAAAGCGGTTTATTTTTTTTTTTTTTGGGGGGGGGAACTATGTTTAATACATTTTATACGTACTTCTTTATTCTGCCCGTCTTTGTTTACGTCCACTCGATCTCCGATAGCTGCAGTTTGACTCGGACGGTTTACGACATAGCCGGTGGGCAAAGCGACCGGTACGTTTAAGACGTTGTCCCGCGTCGCTAAATCTTCAATAGTCAAACGATGGACGAAATCTATAAATTATGTATTACCCACTATATTAGTTTCATAGCCACGAATTATTATAGACATTCTGGTTTTTCGGTATATTGTATAACATGTATGTTGTTCGTAATTAATATAGTAATAATATAAGATTAACTGATGGATTGCTTACCTCTGTTGGAATGGACGATACACGATAATTGCACAACACTGCACACGGTGTATATTAATTTAAATAAGATCATATTATTGGAGTATTATTCTGGATTAGGAAATACAAAAAACGATCAGCATGTGTTTTTAACGTAATGCGATGGCGCGGTTTATAGGTACGTCAAGAATACGTTGTGCACCATGTGAGATCCCAGCGCCACACTGAACGTAGAAAACAAAGTCAAGGATCTAAATACGCCGAACGCGTGTTACTAATTACATACTGACCTAAAACCATTGGACCTTAACTACGTCTGTTTGATTGGACGGTAACATCGTAGAAAAGTCAATGTCAGAATTTTCTATAATTATAGTGTGAATGGCGAAGCAGCAGAGAAAATTATATCGAAATTCACTATTACTATGGCAGGTAATGGTAGGAATTTAATGCAAGAAACGCGGTTTTTTTTTTGTAGAATTTAAATGGGAACCACTGGCCACCAAGTGAAAGTTTTCCGTGCACTAAAACAAATGGACTGTAAAAAAAATAATAATAATAATATTCACAGCATGAGGGCATCCTATTCGTATCAGTTATTGGCATCATTTTGCAAATTATCATATTATCATATAGGTAGGTATCGGTGACAAATGGGTTTTACCTCTACCACAATATTAGAGAGCAGGTATTAAATATGTACCTATTAAATTAAATTAAAACACTGTATTCCAATTTAAACAAATATTATATAGGTATATTTATTTATGTATTATAAAAAATGATATACATTAACTTATTTATAGGTAATTAAATATAATACTATTTATGTTCATATTATATTTTTTTGTTATTCTGGACGGTTCGTAATATTATTAAGTATATTAATGAGTAAACTGGACGGAATATTATTTCATTTTAATCACAATACAAAATTAATAATCTAAATTAAAATTATATGTCTAAATATATGAATACAAAAATACAACAAAAACAATAATTTATCTTTTCGGTTTCCCTTAACCTATAATAGTGTCCGCATATCCACGAAAAAAAAAAATATTAAGGGACTTTAAATACAATCATAGGCAGTGAGTGCTTGTTTTTCAACATAATTTCTTAAGCGTTAATACTAAAACATTATAAATACTGTATAATTATAATAAGTAAATAAAAATAACGGTGAGTAGTCCCTGAGTTTAGAGATCGAATAAGTAATAAAAAAATTTAAAAAAACACAGTATAGTTAAACCAATACAATCTTTGCACCACTCAAAATTTAAAATAAGGTAGGTACATTTTTATAAAATATACAATATCACATTGAGGTTTCTAATGGTTGGCTATGTGATCTGGGAGGAGGTGAAGGTGGTTGATCTAAATTTGTTTCGAGTACTTCTGTACTACTGTATACTCCTCGACTATTGTCTGTCCAAATACCCACTGTTGATGCAAATGTAGAATTGTCTCTAAACCCTAAGTAATAAACATTCCTGTAATAGATACTAAACTATCTTTTTCTGTTTTAAAAATAAATAGTTTACCTTTATTTTTGTATGCTAAATCATATTCATTTTCTATATGTATGGGATCATTGATATTATGCACCTCGTATAAATCACTTGGCTCATATTCGTCAACTGACGAATTGAATTGAGACTTAATTATGGAATCAGAACTTCCATTTGCTTTAGTTGATATTGTGTTAAAACCACTAATATTATCAATCATCTAAAATTTAGAATTTAAATTGAAAGAAAGTTAATAATTAATCTCTATTATTAATACACTGTTTAAATGGATACTATAAACTGAAATTTAGTTTCATTGAATTTTATAAAAATAATTTATTTTACATACTGGTTTACGTCGATAATTTAAATCAGAAAATGCAGGCTGTGACAAGGATAATGATCTCAATGAAGTCAATGATTGGCGAATTGAATTTCTCCTGTTAAGCCTCTGCACTTGCCTTCGTTTTGATTTCGTCCACCAACAACATAACACAGATGCCACACAAATAAAGCAACCGAATAATAATCCTGTAACGGCTATGTTAACAATATCATCGCGCCATTTCAATGGATTTATAATAACTTGAGGATCTAGTAAACAAATAGATAATAAAAAATAAAAATAATTTTTATATTAGTTACCTAATGTAAATTATTACCCATTTCACAAATAAATGCATTACGAGAGGCACATTCTAAATTAGTATGTATCGTATTAAAACCTAGAGCTGTACACTGTCCAATGTAACCAATATGCTGAACCCATATTAGGCCATAATCAAAGATTTGCAATTGTAGTGTTCTCCTGATGTTTGCATAGTCACCAGTGATGAATGGTACAGAAGCATTCATTGTCTAATAAAATATAATATGTAATAAATAAATCTAGATCTCCAAGTTTACTTCATAAACATACCATGCAAAATGTTTTAGCTTCATTAAACGTCATGGGAACTGCAATATATCCATAACAAGTATTAGAAGTGGGCATTAAAATCCATGGTGGAGGACATTTTTCTGACTCAAGAATAGTTTTGTTTGACAAATAATATGGTATTACATCGACAGGCATTAAGTCAATTTCATCTTTGTAGTCTTTAATGCGTCCATACACAGCAATTGAATCATTAAAACCCCAATAATTATGACGAGCATCAACAGAACCATCAATAGCGTAAATGTAATCACTGTATTATAAGTGTATTATTAAAAATGAAAATAACAATAATTATAATATTAAAATAAAATAAAGAATTATCTTTACTGTGATCTATTATTACTGGTCGCAGCTATGATTTCATAATTATTTTCAGGATCATAAAATATATTATGTATATAATATTGACCATTCGATAATGCCAATATTGTTCCTTTGTTCTGTATGTTAGTGGCTTCATTCCTATATAGATATTATTAAAATTAAATAAATACTTGGAAATATAAATAGTAACCAAATTTTTACCAATAAAATCCATTGTGTGATGTTGATGATTGTAATGGCAATCGAATTCCTTGAAAACCAGACATTTTTAATATATGAAAACCAATGTTGCCGAATACATAATTGAAAGTAAAATTTGAAATAACCTGAAAACAGAAAAAAATAGAAGTAAATATGATATTAAATTATTAATAGTTATATAATTACCTGCACAAGTTCAATTATATTCTCATATGGTGCAATGTTATCTGAAAAAAAGTTGCGATACATTGTTATGTGCTGTTGAGGAGCAACACGTACACCAGTAATATTTAAAACTGGCAAATTAACATTTTCTGCAAATAAATTGTTATGTATGTTTGCTTGCAAAGTAGTAGCATATCCACTCGAGTCTGCTGTTACTTTAAGACCACCTTGGTTTTTCATAACAAGGTTATTCTAAATTTAAATTAAAAAAAATAAAAGCTATACAATTTATAGGTACTTTTAATTAATTATTACAATAAAATTATATAAATTTACATGAAGTTGTAAACTTTGAGTGTTTTGTAATTGAAGCTGAATAGGCATATCACATGTACTAATGTTTGAATTGGGTATGTGTTGACAATTATTGGTTATTTTATTCCAAGCAATGCTTATGTGTGGATTTACCTCACCAGCACAGGCATAATTTATAGCACCCATAAAATTATTATTAATCACTGAATAGGAAATATTATGTTCAGTATTGCGATCTGAAAAGTAAAATATCTATGAGAAACATTCATAAATAATAATAATTATTATATTATAATTTATTTACCAAAACCAATTGCAGCTATTGGAAGAGTAACGATTTCTGCAATGAAACCATAAATACGAGAAGAAGCAGCTTGTGCGGCAACCTTTAAACTAATGCTACCAAATGTGGATTTTATGAATCTTCTCCTTTGTGATTTTGGAGATTTTACTAGACGAAGAATTTCAGAAGTTTTATTATACAATATACCATCATATATACTTATATGATCGGTTTCATGGGCTAAATTTAATTGTAATAATCTGTAATATCCATATATAAAATACATAAATAAATAATAAAAGAAAGTCCTTCAAAATTAAATGAATAATTATGATTTGTGTACCTTAAACCTAATGATTTAGATCCTAAATCACTGCGGAAAATTTTGATACAAGACAAAGGTTGATCACCATATTTGAAATGTATAATCATTCGTTCGTAAACTACTATGTCTTTAATAGAATCACACATATCCAATAAACCAAAAGTATCTCTAGGTAAATTCACTTGTTTTAAAACATCAAAAGAACTTTCAAGGTTCTCTTGGCCTTCTCCCGTTAATGAAATTATGTTTATACCAAATCCAGTATTATTTTCAAACCTGAAATGCCAATAATAATATAATAAGTACAAAAACATTTACTTTTAAAAATATTATAACAAACCAGTTGGAAAAAAGATGTATATTTTGATGTTTAAATGTAATAACAGATATTCCATCAGATGCTGAATTTGTAACATTAATTGAATTTATATAAGGTGACTTTCCAATTATCAGAACAGCTGGAGATAATTTATTATGTAGGACTCCAGCACCTTCTACTTGTACATATTGTAGTTGTGATTGTATATTCGATTTCAATCCATGGTTTTCATCATCATGTAAATATTCAGCATAATCATTTACTTCAAAATCATTATTAGCAAATCTGTATAAGAAATAATTATTAATATTATATTATGTTATAAATTAAATAATCATCTATTTATTATTTTAACAATAAAATTGCAAAATACCATTTTTTTAACAAAATATTTATTATTTTACATGAAATTTTAGATTTTGAGCAAAATGAAAAACACGTTGATACTGTAATATGTAATTTTTTTTAAGTGTAAAATATATAATAAAGTTATATTAAAATAATATTTTTGTATTACCTTATGCCACCCCAATGTTGTTGATTTTTAGAAAGAATGCTTTGAGTACAGTACACAAACACAAATGATTCATCATTCCAGTCACATGATAAAAATTCATCAGCAAAGTTTAAAATCGGACAATCCATGAAATAATTTTCATTTCCTAAAATTGAGAATTTAATAAATATATATATGTAATTTTTTTTTTTTTTAATATAATTACCTGAACATCTAAAATGTTGTGGCCAACTTTGAGCAGCAACAACCATTTGACTTTCGTTATAATAATGTTTTTTCCATGTAAACCAATTGTTTAAGGTGCTACTATTTGACCCAATTTCTTTACATACTACTTTAGCATTAGCTTCAGTAAATGATCGATCACAAGTTGGTAGCCATTGCATAAGAGTACTATTCCATATTTCCAAAAATCCATACATATTTGTATTTAGATCATCAACATTTTTCACATGGTTTAACCGTATAGTAGGCCTTAATAGACAAAAAAACAATCAATTAAAGATAATTTAAAGTGTTTAATGATCAAATATGTATTATAAAATTATGATAATACCTTGATTTTAAATTATGTGCATGCGACAATATTACTTTATTAATAGGCTTAAATGTTATTTCACCACCAGTATACCCTTTGGCAATCATAGATCCAAGAACAAGAATGCCAACATTGGGTGCAAATTCTAGTGTAGTTCCTGGCAATATAGTTAAAGTTACACTGGGCATTACAGTTATGTCTGATAAAACTAAGTATGGATTTTCTTGTGGAGCAATTGTTAATGATTCTGAAATTGTACCACCCAAAACTCCGTTAGAAATACGTAAATTATCCTCCCAAGTCATCTAAAATTTCAAGAATAAATGTTATATTTTTTAATCTAAATTTATAATATATTATGTATAAATAACACTCACAGATAATGATGCATCAAATGAATCATCAATTAAAAATGGTGTGAAAACAGTAACTGCATTATTATTCCAATCATCAAAATCGAATATTAGGTCTTTTATACGCTTTACATCCAAAGATCCCCACCAATTATTTGCCATATTTATTGCATTACTTGTTCTTGATGTATGAAGACCAGCAATAATATTATAGTTCATAGTATTACTTGATGACATTAAATTACGATCAATTTTAACATTTTGAATGCCATCAAATATAATTAATGCTGAGTTCGACTAACATAAAATAAACTTTAAGTTATAAAAATTCAAAAATATAATGTAATGTTTAAAATACTTACTCTTGTTGTGAATGATCTAGAGTTACTTTTAAACATATTCTCCCTAAATAATGCAAATACTGAACTCATGATTTCACATTGGCTTTTAATATTAAACATTATCATAAAATCTCCAGTATTTGAAGAGATTATATTTTTCCAGATTAACATATATTTTTCCATGCCCGTAATCATTATTAAGCCATCTAAATTAATTTTAATAATTTATTACTAAAAATTACACATATTTTAAGAAAATTATATTAAGGTATTTTTAGAAATTACCTTTACAAATGTTATTTTGTATAATGTTACGGGTAATGTTTAACTTTGTAAAATGTCCACCAATATTTACTCTCAAATTAGAATTGTGAATAAATGTGTTATTATCAATTATCACAATGTGTGTAAGGTTTTCATTGTATGAATATAAATATGGTAATGTCAATTGGATACCATCTTTTAAATTACGTTCAAATGAATTTCCAAACAACTCCAATTTAAAAACATTTAATGAATTTTGGGTATTCCTATAGTATAAAAATAAATAGAATATATGTATATTATATTTATTAATATCAGAATCTAATATAAAAGAGACGCATTAATAATGTGTTTTTAGTCATCTACACTTTTAAAAATTATTATTCTGTAAAGTATCAATAAGATTGTAAACATACTTGCAATGGTGACTAATAATTTGTCCATTATCTGCTAATATTGAACTACTGACATTTATATGAATATGCGATTTGTTTAAATGATTAAATGGAAATGAAAATGGCTCGATTTCACTAATCAGCAAACCTTCATTTTTGTTGTAAGATATATCACAGTCATATAAATATAATGTTTCATTTAAAGCTCTTAAATAATACTGCCCTTTTTTTGGTTTGTTGTTATATTTATGACTTTCAGCACTCATAAATCTTAACATAAATTATTTAATAAATATAACAGAAAAATTATAATATACAATAGACATTATTTGTCTATATATAAAACTTATTTGCGCAAATACTTACTCGCTATAGTATTTAACAAAAACTCCAACTTCATTACTTTTAATAGCAGTTTTTGTTACAAATAATGTTGGTTCTGGTTGAACTAATAATCCTTTATATATTGTAGCTAAACATGATTATTTAAATAACATTGACTAAATTTTAAAAAAAATGTACATATATATATTAAATATTTAAATACCTGGTACACATGATATGAGAAGAACAATATTACCCAGTGGATTTATTCCACTATTATAATTTAACATAATACCATTAGAACTACTTTGAGTAGGGAAAATGCCAACATCTCGATTTGAACTCCATAAAATGTTATCATTAATCTTGTTACTGTGAATATTACGAATTAAAATTTTTTCACTAGTATTGTTATGAGGAGTATTTAACATTTGAATTCCAACAACATAATTGATTCTTGTACACTAAAATAAATTTAAAAAATAATACATATATACTTAATTTAGCTAACAGATTATTAAAATTAATAATTACCTGAAATACTATTTTTGATTGTACCGGTTCTATTAATTGTGAGGATATTTGTTTTGTAATAATATACCTAAATTCATTAGGTTTTAAATCTATTTGAAAATTTGATTGGTCGTAGGGCAATAATACTGGTTTATATTGATATGAACTTGTTGCAAATGGTTTAAACCAACCTGCCAGCTCTCGTTGTTTATCAATACTAATTGAACTATCATGCTGAATACCATATTTGTTTCTTTCAATTCTACTATCTGTAGATTAATGGACAGATTTATATGTAAGGTACATTAAAATACATTTAATATTTAAAATGCTATATTTACCTTCAATGGTTAAACCAAATTGTTTGAAAAATATCCCAGCTCCTTTATTACCACTAAACTCTGAATTACGAATATAGCTCAGACTACTATATAAATCAGAATAAATTACTTCTACACCATTTCCAGCGTTTTCTGTGACACGAATACCTTCAAATGTATGTCTATTCAAATCTACTTGAAGAGCTATAAAAATAAAATTTGTATTAAAAATTGTTTTATTAATCAATTTCAAACACAAAAATGTGTATAATCTAATATTTTATTTATTTATTTTTGATCTAACATAATTGTGATCTTAAGGAATAGGATACTGTTGTTCATATTATATATATATAAACATAGATTTTATGTATACTTAATTTTTCAACCAAAAATTGGACAATTTTATACAACTATATGAAAATTTAATAAATGATGAAAATAAATGTTTAGCACATTTTTTAAATTGTCTAACCTAATTTAACTTCAGAGGTTTTTTAAAAAACGTACCAGGTCCAAATTCATTAGTAATATAATCAAAAAGTCCAGCTTTCTCAATTGTAATAAATTGTAGATTGCACGTATCTGCTAATACACCCAATCTCAATCCTGACCAACCAGGTTGTTCACATCTAAACGCAACGTCTTTTGAATGATCACATGATTGCTCAGAGTCTATTACTTTTTCTACTTTACAGTTAATCAAATCTACATCTTCATCAGAACAAGTCACATTTCTATAAACAAATATTAGTTTAATATTATAAAATGTATACAAATATATTCCTTAAGTAACATCATTTACGTAAACAATATTGGTTCTGAAGGATCCGCAATAGGTACATCGACTTTCCAATCAGCAGGATTCAAAACTAAGCCCATTTGTCGACATACTAAAGCAGCATTTTCAATTGTCCAACCATAGTTACAAACTGATCCCCAAGTATTTAATTCCACAGAGTACACCTTTTTTAAATAAAATATAATGACATAAATAATAAAATAAATTTAAAAAATGACATACTTGAAGCCTGCCTTCGTTAAAAGTTCTTCCAGCAACTAATCGCACATGAGTAGGGCTGATCGATTCATTACTTATAGAGTTCAAATTTTCATGTAGAGTAAATTTGATGTTATCAAGACTTCGACCTCGAGCTTCTAATTTTCCAGCTACCATAATACCCACACCAGGATTAAATCTAAATTATTTTTTATTTTAGATAATATTATAACTTATGACTATAATATAAATGTAATTAGTAATTACTTCAGTGTAACATCAGGATAAATAATTAATTTTCCACTAGATGCTACATTAATGTCTCTTGTGACAACATATTCACCACTGGACACAGTTTCTAAACCATCAACTTCTCCTCCAAAATCATTAGGTTCTTTATACAGTTTAGTTACGACTGTGGTCACCGGCATAATTGAGGTGGTTCCGGGATTAGTAGGATGTAACAAGAAGGGAACAAATTCAATTTTAGCCAAATTATAGCGGTCGCGTCTATTAATTAAACATTATTAGGATAAAAATCAAGAATTATAAAAAAAAGAACTATAAGAAAAAATAATATAATATACCTGTGAAATAGTCGATTAATAATGAAATGATCATCAGTGTTTCCTAACCAATTATAAGTGGTATTCACAATAAGACTCTGATCTTCTAGTTGAACTCCTATTTCATAATTGGACAAAGGGTTTTCAATAATATTCCTAGTGACAAGTACATTAGAAGATGCAACTACAATTACTGCAGATACTTTATTTCTTGAAATTAGTTTAAAAGGTTGAATTATTTTGTTGTTTTTCAAATAGTTCCATGTAAAAAGCAAATTATGTAGTTGACTATAAGTGCTTAATCCCAAGTTTACTACATAACTTCCACTGTTATCATAAAATTCATTATTTTTTAATAAAGCAGTTGAAGGAGATTCATCAAAATCTTCATCAAAGTGTTCGTTTCTAATTAATATACAGCCGTGTTCTTGTTTTTTAAACCGATTAAACTCCAAAATTGCGTCCATATTGAGCATTGGTTTTATAAGTATTGCCAACTTTTTATTATAAGAAAATTCATTGTAAGATATAATTACATTAGTAGTTTCTGCTTTTCGTTCAATACATGACTTTATTTCTAATGCATAAATGCTAAAACTGAACAAATTTTCTGTTACGTTGATCTGTGATTTTCCACGACACCATCCATCAATTTCTACTGAGTTGTTCGTAATTTCTGAGTATGTCAAAATTGTTTTCTGAGCTATATTGCTAATGCTTTTGTCTAATAACCTAACAGCCATTCCTGGTCCTGAATTAGATTTAATTAATGAATAAGTAACATTACGTATCCCACCATTATTGTTGGTTAAAATTCCAAATCCATTGTTATACATTATTTTTGAACCTAATATAGTAATATCGGATGAACCATTAAATACATTTACTCCAGCACTTCCACTATTATTGTTAACTGATGAATTAAATATTGAAACAGCACTGTATAAATTCTCAATAAATAATCCAGAGCCAATATTATCAGATAAAATGCTTTCAGATATGTTAACACTATGCCACTTCACTAAACAAAAGTAAAAATAAAGAATTATTTATAATCTAACAAAAATTGTTAATGTCAATATTAGCAAACAAGCAATGCCAGGTATAATTAATGAGAGAAAACCCAGAGGCCACCTCAGGTAAAGATGAATTGATATATTAAATGTATGCATAAGGTGTTGGAAGAGTGAAATTAGACGAGAGGAAATAGTAAAGCAGCAAAAGTCTTAAATGGGTTATAAAAAAAAGAATGGCAATTTTCTTATATTATCTTACCAAATCCTGATGTCACTCTGAGAAGACCAAACACATTTGTTCTAGCCGGTGCAACAAATTCAATTAGTATATTATTACGTCTTGATGTGACTGATTGCGGTATTGTATTATTGTGGACGTAAATAGTAGCTAAAAGTCTAAAAGTTAATTTTTAATATTAAATCAATATAAATTAAATAATATATTATTCTAAATTATAATACCTATCGGGTGATGATACTTCTCCATCATAAATGTTTAAATATGAATTATTTTCAAGCTCATGAGAATTAGTGTGTTCAATGTTTACAGTTAATATTTGACCAATTTTTGTGAATAAACTCTAAAACCAATAATAGGTACATTTTATCTATATAACAATAATATTGTTAATAAAACTAAAGTTGTATACCTTGTAACAATTGATTTGTTTAGCATTATAACTATTTTGTTGTATAGAAACAAGAACAGGAAATGTTTGACTAGTTGTTGTCGGAAGAGAACACAATTCGTTTACATTACTTAAGAGATCATTATCAATACTGCCTTGTACCACATGTATGCCATCTCCTTTGTTATTTGATACTAAAGTTTTTGTTAAACTTAACTGACCGAATGATGAATTCATAAAAATGCCATGTCCTAAGAATACATTAAAAAGAAAAGCTTAAGCAATTTTATATTTAATTAACCTGGGAGAAGTGTCGTATTAAAAAATTTAATGAGAAGTGTCTTGTGTTAGTCTTTTTGACCGACATATTATAATTTGTTTTAAATTGCTGAAAAGTTAGTTTATTAACATATTTGGGTATATTATGTACAGGCTATCCCACGAAGATAATACCCCTTGAATATCTCCTAAGATAATAAAAATAAACAAATTTTTTTTTTTTTTTTTTTAAATATATTACTCACAGGAATGAAGACTACAAATATTTATATTTTTTTAAAAATAATTTTTTTCAGTAAAAAAATTCAAAAATAACTTTATTTATTATTTTAAGAAAATGTAAGATAGCCATTCTATAGATGTTATCTAGAGAATAACTAACTGTGTTAAACAATAACATTAATTTTCACACTAATAAGTAGAATTTGAAACTGCTGTTACTTAGAAACTATTCATCGAATATATATGTAATTTATAAAAATGTTAAGAAAAATAAACTACAAAATGCCTATTTTAAAATTTCCCGATAATAATAAAATAAAGTAATTTTTTTACTAAAAAAAATAATTTAATACAAAAATAAATATTTGTAGCCCTCATTCCGGTGAGCAATGTATATATATATATATATATATATATATATATAAAAAACCAGAATTTGATAATGTTTATTATTTCTGGATATATTCAAGGGGTATATCTTCATGGGATAGCCTATTTAATACACACATAATATAATATACACTATATAAATAGGAGACCACCTTAAAGCCCAACTCTTTTCCTACAGGCAAATATTTAGTTTCCTGAAGCAAACTTCTCAAATAATCAGTTTATTTCTCCATTTTTCTAAATATTATAAAACAAATAATTGCTAAATATTAATGCATTGAATGCAAAAATGACTGATTATTGATGAAAACGTTCAATTGAAGCGATACTAATAAACAAGTTTAATCGAAAAACATAAAACTGATAGTATACACATGTACAAAAGGTAGGGAAAATATCCAATGTGTCGAGTATTATATCACTAGATAATCACCAAACTAAAAATAGCTTCAGTCAAAAAGACTTCCGACAACTCTCTAAGTTAATACAACAATTAGGTTCAATTTTTAACACATAAGTATTCATTATTTAGGATGTATTTTAAAATAAAATAATGTTATACATGGTAAGCAATATACAATTTTTATTTATACCTCTGTTGTTTTTTATAATACAATCATGTAAATCTAGTATAGAATCTGATGTTGTTATGTTTATTCCATTATATGCAGAATGTAAAATTGACACATTCTTCAATGATGGTGGAACTCCATTAACTTCTATTGCAGAAGTGGTTTTATATTCAGCACCAACACCAGCATATCTAAGTACATTTAAATTTAAATTAAAAAGTAACTTTTACATTATTTGTATTTTTAATTTTATGTTGTTATAATATGCAGCATTTTTAATTATTGGATAACGAAAACTTAAAATGTTTAAAATTTAAACAAAACAGATATCAACAACTATTTTGAACAGTTTGATCAACAATTAGATTCATTGATAAAAAAATTATTAAAATATAAAATAAAATTGAATTTTAAGCCCAAAGTATTTGAGATTATTTACTTTGAAAAACAATAAATTGTTTAAAATAAAGACATTTTTTATCATTAAATGTATTTTTCACTTACATTTTTCATTCCACAACAATTCAATATCATACAATATATGATAGATATACTATGGCATATAAGTGTGCTATAATTGACTACAAATAAAAATTTTATTAAAAATATACAAACTTACGTCAATATAACATGACTCAATTCTGATAATGATATTGGTTGATAAAGAGTATTATAATGAATTAATGACTTTTTAAATTGTGCTTTTTCAAATTTAAGCCCTTTCCAATAACTTTTAACAGCATAGCTATTTTCATAATAGGGCTGACATTCAATAGCAATATCTTGCTTAAAATCTGAAAATTAAATTTAAACTAAAAATATTTCATTGTATAATATTATGGTAGAGGTATAAGGGACCATAAATGTATTCAACATAGGTAAATAATAATTAAAACAATACTTTGAGATTAAATATGACTCATTAGGTAGGTAGTCATTCTGGACTAAAAATCAAAGTAAAATTAAAAAATAAGTTTTCTTACAAATATTTAAAACTTACCACAACTGCCAGACCCTAATTTTTTATTTTCCCATCCTTTACAGCTAATTAAATTATTTTCAATTCCTTTACATTGTAAATTAGACAACATAAGTCGTGTATAAAGCTTATCTGTTTTAGGTTCCATCCAGCGTAAAAATTTGCCTCCACGGTAACCCAAATGCCGACATGTAGTTTGGAGATCTGCATTATTCCATCTATGAATAATAAAATAGATGTTTTTTAATTAATTAATAGTAAGATACCTAAATAATAATTACTTTTTACACTTACTGTGTTGACGTACAAATTGATCTCCAACCACCTTTATAAAATAATTGTAAACGCCCAGCTTGTATACTAGGACCATCCACTAATCTAATATTTGAAGAAGATTGACTTAAACCATCATCTAAATCTTCTATATTAGTACTAGATGTCATCACAATTTTATTATGTGCATCTCCCTAAAATTAGAATAAATCAAATTTTGTCTGCACAAAAACAATTTAAAAAATGATTATGTAATAGTCATTACATTTGCAACAATTGAACCCTTTATGGTAATTCCTGTTTTTGGTGAAAACTTTAGCGTTACACCTGGGTCAATGATTAGCTGACCAGTATCTTCAATGACAACATTATTCAAGACAAAATAAGGACTTTCATCAGCTTTTAATCGATGATGGTTTGCAACAATTCCTCCTGACCATTCTGTATAGCCTTTTGTCGATTTAAGTTCATTCGACCAGGAATAATCATTTGCATACGCATGAACAACAAATAGATTTATAAACTGGACCAAGCCCAGTAACTGTACCATCGTCCAAGCTATTTCCTTTAAATTCACATAATTTACACAATTGATTTATCAAAAAAAAAATTATGATTATAACTGCAACTATATTCGTTTTACTTTAGACAAAATATTTAAAAAAGAAAAAATAGTTTACTAAATTACGAAAACAATTTACTAACACTATTTGAAATTTTACACCCGATTAATTTTGTATATGTTCGTAAGGTACTATCAATACAGTTATAATAATTATGTTATGAATGTAGTGATGGAGGGGATCAAATGATCATTCAACAGGTGAACGGAACAAAGATATTGTAAGTGCATAATAGTAGGTACCCACCATAAGTCATAAATAGTAAATTCTTCTTTAACTGTAAACGTTAGAAAGGTGATAGATATTTCATATCAAATTGTGATACATTATTTACCATATTTCTATGTGAACTTATACACCATAACCATGATAAAAGACATTATGCTATAAAACTAATTTTATCATAGTTGCTCCTGTATCTACATCCGTGTACATTGATACTAAAAATTATATTATTATAATATTATATTATTAATTTAATATTCGTTTTGCCAATATTATACAGTATACTGAAAAAAAAAAACAAAACATTTGACGCTACAGTTTCCGTATATTTTTAATGTTTATATAAACGATGTTTTATTTTTATTTCTTTGNTATTAAAAATAACTTTAAACGTGAATAAAAATCATAAACATGATAAAATGTAAATTAATAATGGTTAACTAGTAGACACTAGACAGTACGCAGTAGGAGGTTAGCACCTTTAATGAACTTTAATTAATTATTTTTACTTCAATTAGGGACTCAGTGTACCTACCCAATCATCACTTAACATTTTATAATTTTTCTACAAGAGGTAGAATTAAACTTTTCTTTTGTCATATTTTTATTTCAGTTATTAGGGATAACAATATTCAACTTAAAATATCTAAATATATTGATACTTGCAATGAGTGTAGGAGGTATACAGTATCAGAGCCAGAATAAAATTTCATGGTTATCCTTTTTTTTTAGGATGATTAAATATACAAAAAACTTAAATAACCAATAAAAAATGAACAACGGGAACATGGCACTAGTTCATTTCCTCCTCTCATGACTATGGCACTGCAGGTAAGTATATAAAACAATAAAAGACAAAATCACGTTCTTGTATCCAACATGATTATAAATATTAACTCCTAATGAAAACGTTTAATCAAATGCGTATTAAATTTGTTTTTTTAAATAATACAACAAAACATATAAACAGTACTTATTTTTATAACGCCCGTTTATAACAGGTATATGTTATTAATATACCAATAACTAAATGTATTAATAAATCATCAGTTCTTTTTAATTAAATAGGCAAGCTTTTATAATAATAATACAAAAAAAATTAATAAAAATAAAGTGATAATGATCAATCTAAAAATGAATCTCCTTCTATGACTTCTTTTAAACTAAGAACTTCCATGTTAGTAGTACCTTTTGTATCTGTTCGTACGAGTTCATCTATTTGTCTATAATTTCCAGGATCGATAAGTAGAATCTAATTAATAACATAAACATAATAAAAATATCAAATAATTTAATGTAATATACATGTATATGCCTAGTACCAAAGTAAGTTCCCCAGAATCCCAATGTAATGATTCAACTGTTGACGCAAAAGTTGAAAATTTTTCTAATAGTTTTTTTGCTTCTTTGCTAGATGATTCAATTTTTAATCGCATCATAGCTCTTTCAAGTGGTAACACAGCTTTAATTAAATGTATAACTTCAAGAGCCTGTACAAAAAAATACAATAAATTAGTTAAAAGTACCAGAGTACTAAAGATAATTGATATTTACTTGTTGTTTAGAGTTTCTATTTGGTTTTACAGAATAGTGTACATCTTTCATTGCTTTTTCTACCATAGTTACTGAGTATGGTCTTTTAGTTTCAGGATTCACACATTTATCTGAAATAAAACCTTATCAATTATTTAATTACCTTATATTTAAATTTTAATTATTTATTTATGTATCATTGTGTGTTATTTTATACCAGCTACAATAGTAGCAATATCTTTGAAAGATGCA